TGACGTCTACGGCCATATCCAGCATAAAGCATGATTACCCGTCCGATCAATAATTATTAAGCTGCTGAGAGCGATGCTGAGTACGTTAGTGGGAGACCATAATGGAAACCATCGTGCTGTAGACTCTTCTTTTTTTGCAATTTTTTCAGCATAGTAATTTCGCTTATACTGACTCTGATCGCAGATTACAAGGTCGAGGTCCGATATTACAAAGTAAGTCATAGAGGCAGGCGAACAATCACAGTCGGGGCAATGTTAGTGAGAATCTGCGATTGGTCCATGTTTGCACAATTGACGTATAACGGAAAAGCAAATGAAACTCCACCTGCAAACTCTAACTCCAGGCCAACTTATTTAAAAAGAACGTTCATATAAATGTATTAGAGACAGCGAAGGAGGAAATAGCCATGAAGTGGTCTTCTACTAAATTGTGCAATTAAATTTATCTACTTAGCTTAACCAAAAAAAAAACTTTTGTACGAATATTCACTTATGATAAGGACGGAACTTAAAATTTTTCTATTTTCTGTGTTTTTAGATCATTATTTACCAAGGCAAATTTTATCAGCGTTGAAATTATGACTCTTTTTAGATAGCCGTATAATTTGGTGTAATTTCACTAAATCCCAAAGATAGGAAAACATGCATAAATTGTTTCCGGAGCACTCTCGGATTGAAAGACGCTAATTGGCAATTAAGATCTTATGCCAATGGATAAATGAATAAAATATACAAAGGGTTGTAGATCATTTAAAATTAAATTAGATAAAGGAATTAATAAAACCTTCTTCTTTTCCTGATCATTTCAATACTTTGGTTCTAGAATAATACTGAAAATTTGCAACTCTTAACGACAGGATGGTAGTTAATGATGAGAAGGTCGACACCAAACGGGAGCTAACAGCTTCGATCTCAAATAAAAGCAGCAGGCTTAGTATCGACTCCAAAGAACTCAATAAGATCAAAGAGGAACATAAATTCATAGACTTGAAGGAAGCAGATGTTACAATTGATTTCATGAACATTCATGATAAAGAAGTACCAGAGATAACCCCAGAACAGGAAAAGAAATTAAGAAATAAAGTCTTTTTAAGAATTTTAGGTTTTACTTTCGTCATTAACTTGATTATGTACATGGATAAAGCTACGTTCAGTTATTCAGCATTAGCTGATATGGGATTTTGGGAAGCGACTGGGCTTGATCAAAATAAATATAACAATTGTAATACTGTTTTCTATGCTGGATTTGCATTTGGTCAAATCTTCAGTCCCTACTTAATCCAAAAAATTTCCTTGACTAGATTAATGATGGTGATATCCGGATTATGGTCAATTCTCATATTTTTGCATTGTACTGCTTTTAACTATCCTGGTGTCATAATATTGAGGTTATGCCTTGGTTTAACCGAAGCGCTGGCTATTCCTATATTAACCTCAACTAACGCCATGTTTATGACTGAAGATGAAAGATCAAGCACTCAACCAATATTTTTTTCATCTTGTTTCGGATCTTCAATTCCAATTGGTTTTATTGCTTATGGTGCATTATCGGCTGATGCTTCAATAAAAGGTTTCAGGGTTTTGAATATAATTATTGGAGGGATGACTGTTATATTGACCATGTTTATTGCATTATACTATCCAAATAATCCAGCTGATAACAGATTATTCACCACGGAAGAAAAAGTATGGATTATCAGAAGGGTCCAATCAACCACTAACACTGCAGTTGACCAAAAATCTTTCAAAAGAAGCCACGCCTTAGAAGCATTGAAAGATTACATTTCTTATCTTTTTTGTGCATCTTTGTTTTTAGAGGAATTGGCAAATAATTTAACGTATCAACAAAACTTGCTTTATTCAAACCTTGGTGGCATAACAAATTTGGATTCAACTTTAGTTAATGTTGCGGGATCTGGATTCACCACTGTATGGGCATGGTTTGCAAGTTTAGTCATTTCCATATTTCCAAATACTTCATTTTTTGCAGGAATTTGGTCTATGATACCCGCATTACTTGGGGCTATCTTGGCAGTTTCACTTGATTATAGTAATACTATTGGAATGTTAGCTGGTATTCTTATAGCATCCCAATCGTTTGGGGTACATTTAATTCTTGCATTTGGGCTTGCCAAAGCAACTGCTAGATCTCAAACTAAACAAAAGGTTAGAGCAGCTATGATGATGATGAGTTATGCCATTGCAAATATCATAAGTCCTCAGCTCTGGCAAGAAAAAGATGGCCCAAGATACTACCCTGCATGGATTGTTCAAATAGTGTTAAGTTTCATTTGTTCTCCATTACTCATGGGGGTGATTTGGTTTATATTAGCTAAAAGAAACAGAGAAAGAAGAAAAGTGATTGACTCTGGTGAGGTGGAGAAAGTAGGTATTGTCAAGGATAGCGAAGGTAATGAATTGGTTGTTAGTGTTGCAGCTTTAGATTTAACTGATTTAGAAGATAAGTCTTATATATATCCTTTATAGATTAACATTAAATAAATATTCGAATTCGCAACTTAACTTGAATAAAGAGCGAGAGCCCTGGAAGATCATGCTATGTGCAAGGTTCGAGCACCATTTTCAATTCATACGACCGAATACTATGAGAATGTTAATTGAAGTTCTTTAAACTTATTGTACTGATTAAATTCACGCTGTCCAAGAGCGGAAAATTACTAGTTTTTTTGCGGCAAATAAAAGTGAACTTCTTGCCTTTGATGAAAATAACTCAATTTCGAACGTAACCATTAGGTTAATTCTTGCTTCTGACGCGTACCGATAACACCAATAACGCCGATGTGGAGAGCAACTTTCTTATTCTTTGCTGAAGAGTATCTTCTTGTGCCAAATAGAGTGTACTAACATACCCCTGATTCCAATTATGTTGAAATAGACACAGTTTCATAAGCAAAACTACACCACACGCAATTATATTAGCGAGAGACTGACTATAAATTAAGAATTTGATCAATTTCTTGAAGGGACTGACACAAATGAATAATACCAATAATCAAAATCAAATAATGGAAATACAACAAGTATAAATGGAGTTGTTTCTTAAAACAGTCCGTCACAAATAACAATATACTTATAGATGATATCTTTGGTTTGATCTGATCAAAGTGGGATCGTAAGAGCATCGACGGGTCCTGGTCGGACATGTAATGAAATTTTTTTTTTCAAAAGTATGTAAAAGAACCCGTTTTTATTTCTTGGGAATTCTTAGGCCTTGTTCAAAATAAACAACTTTGTTTTTGCTGGAAATTCAGCTTTTTTTGCCCCGTTTTTTTTTTTTTTTTCTTTTCACGTATTTTTTTATATACTCGATCTAAATACTAACTATATAGAGATAAAGAGAGTAGGTAGAGATATATAAAAGGGGTGCATAGTGGAAAATTTGAAAAAACCACTTTAGTTGATTAAGGAAAGGATGTAATTAATTAATCGAGTTCAGAATTTATATGATGATAAGAAAAAAGATACCTTTGTTTTAATGAGCCGACGAGTGAGGACCCCAGAAGGGGCCGATGAAGATCGTCGAATATCAATAAAACATTTAACTAAGTAAAGGCATCTATTTATCTTGGGAATTGAATGATAGGTTAAATTGGAAGGTGCGAAAATTTGCAGCCAAGTTCGATCTAAACCGGAACATCCTGATAAGTCCCAAAGGGGTCTGGTAACAGAACAACCGGTATACACATGAGTGAGAACTTGGTGTTTTGAAATAGGTGTTGAAAAGGAGTGGTGGCAAAGTGATATTTGTATTTTTAATGTTTACAAAATTCACACGGGTCAAATAACCCAGGCGCGAAAAGCTGTATAAATTGGCAACTTGTCCGAGTGGTTAAGGAGAAAGATTAGAAATCTTTTGGGCTTTGCCCGCGCAGGTTCGAATCCTGCAGTTGTCGTTATTTTTTTATGATTTTTTTTTTGTTTTTCCACTGAATAACCTTAATCTTTTTCAAACTTGGTTTAAAATCACGAATCAGAGATAATCAACAATACAAACTCTTTTTGTCGCAAGCCTTGCCGACGTATTTATAGAAATATACGGGCTTTAAATCTAGAAGCATTGGTTTGAGGGATTTAATACGGAACAATAGCAGATAAGAGGTTTTTCCATACGCTTTTAACGGAGCTTATCAAGCTTCAATAGGAAGAAATGGTGAAATAGGAAAATTGCAAAATGTGTCAAAATTTCAGGGTCCAGTTTATTTTTTCTACATTTGCTTTTTGCTGGCGAAAAGCTACAAACAGTTCAACAAGTTGGTAACCTGAGCCGAATCAATGAGTTTCTTTACGATAAATAGGCAAATTACAGTGCAGTCACCTATCTCAACTACATAGAAACACGTCTAGCGAATTGCAAAAGGCAGCAACTCACACCCACCACTATTATTAGACCTGGGGTGTAATCAACACTGTTAGCCTTGCTCATTTCATCCCTCACCTCTGTTCCTCTGTTCCTCTATTCCTCTATTCCTCTATTCTTCTCTTCCTCTATTATACAACCTGCAAACCAGTAATCTGTAATTCGGTCCTTCTGTCGGCCGACCTAAAATCTGCCTTAATTTTGCAGCTGAACCTCCCGGTGTTCTACTCCGGGCAGAGGGGTAGTCCCCCAAGCTCCCCACAACGAACTAGCACCAAAACCGGAGGTTGGATGTAGCATCACCAAAGAGGTTCCCCACCACAAATGAAAATGAAGTAATTACGACTTTATTGCAGTGGTCGGATCTCGGTTTTTTTTTTTTTTTTTTTTTTTTTTTTTTTTTTTTTTATGTTTCGGGTTTTTTTTTTTTTTTTTTTTTTTTTTTTTTTTTTTTTTTTTTTTTTTTTTTTTTTTTTTTTTTTTTTTTTTTTTTTTTTTCTTTTTTCATAGGTTTTCTTTAGGTTTTATTTAGGCTTTTTTTTTTCCTTTCTTTGTTTCAGTTTTTTTCTTCCCGGAAATCAGCCATTTGCACCCCATGTTTGCATTCTCTCTTATTAGAATTCTAAATAAAGTATGGGGAATTACACCAATCGAGCTTTCCTGGTGAGATCATCTGGTTGCAGACATGTATAAATAAGCAGTATCATCTCAGGAGAATGTAGCAATTCTTGTCGATTTTCTTGTAGTAATAGTTTTCTTAGTAAGATAAATAATATGTCAAATTTGAAAGATCAAGAGAAAAACAAGCAAATTGATGAAATCAATTCTGTTAATTCCCAAGAAGAATTACCAGTTCAACAACAACAACAGGAAAAGGAAAAACCAAAGAGTAAGTTTCACTGGAGATTCACCGATCCCAACTCGCCAAAAGAGATCTATAATTGGACTCTTTATTTGTCGGTATTTGTGTTCGGTATATTAGGTAGTGCTAGAGGGTACGATGAAGGTAATATATCCGGATCGGTTGCCCAGGTATCTTTTAAAAGACAGTTTGGATTACTGGACCCAAATAAAGACGCGGATGAAATTGCTAACTTGAAATCAAATATTACTTCCATGGTTCAATTAGGATCAGTTGGAGGATCATTACTTGGTATGTACACCGTTGATAAATTTGGAAGGGTTCGTACATTACAAGGAATTTGTATCTTATGGATTATTGGAGCTATTATTCAAATTACTTCTTCTGCCGTTGGTCAATTATACGCTGGTCGTTTAATTGAAGGATTGGCTATTGGACAAACGGTGATTGTTGCAAATTATCTTTCTGAAATTGCTCCTGCTGGTATTAGGGGTACTTTACATTGTATTTTTGCTGGGGCAGTTTATCTTGGGATTATGTTGGCTTATTTTGCTAATTATGGTACTTCAAAACACATGTCTGGAGATTCAAGAATACAATGGGTTGTTCCAACTTCAATGAAGATTGTATTAGCTGGTCTTATCTTTATTCTTTCTTTATTTTTCTGTATTGAAAGTCCAAGATGGTTAGTTAAAGTTAATAAACAAGAAGCGGCAATTAATAATTTATCAAAATTACGTCATTTACCAACTGATCATCCTTATGTCTTGGGTGAAATCTGTGATATTAATGAGTCAATCATGGCTGAAAAGGAAGCAGTTCATAATAGTGGTGGTATTATTTCAAAGTTTAAAGAACTTCTTTTAATCAAATCAGTTAGATATAGATTCTTTTTGATTTCTGCCGCTGCCCAAGTTTTAGGTCAATGGCTGGGAGCTAATGCCATCACCATTTATGCCCCAGAATTATTTGCCTTTGCTGGTATTAGAGGTGAAGAAATTATGAAAATGACTGCAGTATTAGGGGTTGTTAAATTTTGTTCGGCTTATTTCAGTGCTTTTTTCCTTATTGATTTCTTGGGTAGACGTAAAGCCTTGTATATTGGTATTATGATTCAATTGGTTTCTATTTTATATTTTGCAATTTTTTTAACAGTTGTTCCTCAAGCTGCTCATGAAGATGCGATTTTAACCACTTCTCAAAATCATGCTTCCAAAGCTGCCATGGCCGCTCTTTATATTTCAGGTATGGGTTGGACTATGGGTTTTAACAGTGTTCAATATTTATTAGGTTCAGAAATTTTCCCTCTTGGTATTCGTAGTTTTGCACAAGGTTTAACCATGGTTTTACATTTTGCTAACCAATATGGTAATTCAAAAGCAGTTCCTAAAATGTTAATTGCAATGAATAATTATGGGGCATTTTATTTCTTTGTTGGTGTTATGCTTATAGCAATCTTTTGGGCTTGGTTTTTCCTTCCTGAAGTTAGTGGTAGATCTTTGGAAAGTATGGATGATATCTTTAATTTACCCTGGTATCTTATCGGAAGAAGAGGTGCTGAATTATGTCCTGATAATTCCGAAGTTAATAAAGTCTCCTTTAATGGTAATTCTTATGAGGGTAAACAAAACTATGATTTAGAAAAAATGAAAGCTTCTCAAGAATTCATTGAAAGATTATCTCAAGCTTCCAATGGTAAGCAAGCCAATCAACTATTACCCCGTGAATCCGAAGAAAAAGATCAAAAGAGTATCAAAAGCGATCGTTAATTCATTTCTCTATGAAAATTTCAATATAAGTATGTTTTATCAATAAACTGTAGAAAAAAAAGGGAGAGGAAACAGACAGCTATTAATACGTCAATTAAACGCTGTCCCCCTGGGGTATCAATGGCTCCAAGAAAACCCTTGACTGAATATTCATTTAGTTAGTTTATTCATTTATATGGCCATTCTCAATACTAAACAAAGAAAAAAAAAAAAAAAAAAACTCCATTATAAGCGATACTCGGAACCGAAGAATATGCTCTTACACTGACAACTCTCTCACCAGTGAAACTAGCCTAACTACCCCATAATCAGCCCAGCCTGAATCTCTCCTAAGCCTAAAGTGGCATCCTGGCATAGAACAGCCTGCAATGGACTTGAGGATCGATGAAATTCTACAAACAACATCTACCAACACTGACTATTTACCTAGCCTTGGCAATAAGCTTACTGACAACTAACAAGTACTAATAAGTATAAAGTACTGACAACTAACAAGTACTAATAAGTATAAAGTACTGACAACTGAGTAAAAATACTAACAAGGAAAAAGTACTAACGAGTAAAAAGTACTAACGAGTAAAAAGTACTAACAAGTAAAATACTAACAAGTAGCAACAGATACAGACAGCAAACAGACAAATGAAATCGAACCGAACATAGTAGTGAAAACACTACCCAGATACGATCGTAATCAAGACCAACCCTTTCAACTTTGACTGGACTTGGTGGCATAAAACCGTTCTTATCTTTTTGCAATCTAACGTTTATCGGAGTATTCGCGGGGTTCCAACAAAAGACCCATACATATTATTTCACGTGACGTTTTTTTTTCCGATTTTTCACTCGATTTTTTTTTTTAAAGCCAAAAAACTCATTGAGAGTCCTCATCGGTGCCACTAGAGAGAACTCTTTGATTAAGTAGACGCCCCAGAATTCACGATGGGTGTTCCAGCATTATTTAGATGGCTTTCTCGTAAATACCCAAAGATCATTTCACCAGTGATCGAAGAAGATGCCAATGAACAAATTGGAGGAGCATTATATAGTGATGCTAATCCCAATGGTGAAATTGATAACTTATACTTGGATATGAATGGGATTGTTCATCCATGTTCGCATCCAGAGCATAAGCCAGCACCAGAGACAGAGGATGAAATGTTCTTGGATGTTTTCCAGTATACTGATCGTGTTTTAATGATGGCAAGACCTCGTAAAGTTTTAATGATTGCAGTTGATGGGGTAGCACCAAGAGCTAAAATGAATCAACAGAGAGCTCGTCGTTTTAGGTCAGCTCAAGATGCTAAAATACAACACGAAGAGAAACAACGTCAAATCCAAGAAATGGAATTAAGAGGTGAATCAATTGATGAATCAATTAAAGGTAAAAAATCGTGGGATTCAAATGCAATCACCCCAGGTACTCCATTCATGGATGGGTTAGCTACTGCCTTGAGATACTGGGTAGCATATAAATTGAGTAATGATCCGGGTTGGGCGGGATTACAAGTTATTATAAGTGATGCAACGGTCCCCGGTGAAGGTGAGCATAAATTAATGAGTTTTATTAGATCTCAAAGACTGGACCCAGAATATAATCCAAATACAAAACATTGTATTTATGGTTTAGATGCAGATTTGATCTTCTTGGGTTTAGCAACTCATGAACCCCATTTCAGAGTTTTAAGAGAAGATGTTTTCGCTAATCAATCAAGACATATGAAAATTTCCGATCAAATTAATATGACCGATGACCAAAGAGATGCTTTGAAAGCTCAAGATGCTAAAAAACCTTTCCTTTGGTTACATGTCAGTGTCTTGAGAGAGTATTTAGAAGTTGAATTATATAATCCTCGTTTACCTTTCCCCTTCGATGTTGAAAGAGCAATCGATGACTGGGTTTTCATGTGTTTTTTCGTTGGTAATGATTTCTTGCCTCATTTACCAAGTTTAGACGTTAGAGATAACGGGATTGATGTGTTGGTCGGCTGTTGGAAAAGAGCTTTGCCAAGATTAAAAGATTATATCACCTGTGATGGTAAATTGAATTTAGATAGTGTTGAGAAAGTTTTAAGTAATTTGGCTTATAAGGAAGATGACATTTTCCGTAGAAGATACGAAAATGAACAAAGGAGAGAAGAGAATAATAAAAGACGTCAATTACAACAACAAGATGAAAAAAATTTGAAAAATCAATATTCCAAAACAGTTTCAAAAGGTCAAGATAAGGCACCTTTAGTCGCAGATGTCAATATGCCTTTGATGACTACTAGTGGGGAAAAATTAGATGGCTTCGCCCAATTATCGAACAAAGATATTGTCCACAATAGGGATATAATTACAAAAGCTAATATGGCAAATGCTGATGCTGCCGCCTCCTTGAAAAAATTACTTGACGCTAAAAAAAATGGTGAACCACTTCCAGAAAGACCTGAACCAACAAAAGAGGATGAAAACTCAAAGAAACGTAAAATTGAAGAAGTCGAGGCTGAAGATGAAAGTGGTGATGCGGTAAGAACATGGGAACCAGGTTATCATGACCGCTATTATAAAACTAAGTTTCACATATCGAGTGCAGAAGAAATTGATCAGACCCGTCGTGAAGTTGTTCGTTCATATTTAGAAGGTATTTCATGGGTTCTTTTATATTATTATCAAGGCTGTCCATCTTGGCAATGGTATTATCCTTATCATTATGCTCCATTTGCAGCTGATTTCACCAATATTCATGAAATAGTTGGAGAAAAGGGTATTCAATTTAATGAAGGTAAACCTTTCAGACCTTATGAACAATTGATGTCCGTTTTGCCAGCCGCTTCTGGCCATAATTTACCTGAAGTATTCCGTTCCTTGATGTCTGATGCAGATAGTGAAATCATCGATTTCTATCCAGAAGAATTCCAAATTGATATGAATGGTGCTAAAATGAGTTGGCAAGGTATTGCTTTATTACCATTCATTGATGAAACTAGATTACTTGAAGCTGTTCAAGGGAAGTATCACTTATTAACAGAAGATGAAACTAATAGAAACACTAACAAATCCGAAGAGTTATATATCTCAAATCAAAATAAGAATTATGATCGTTTCATCAAAGGTTTATATGAAGACAACGTTAAAGAAATTCCATTCAAATATGGTAAGAGTGGTTTAGCTGGTACTGCTTTCAAGAAAGAAAATTTTAACCCTAATGCTATCACCAAATTTCCTTTGAAAGAGGGATATATGCCAGATTTAAGCAATAAAGATTTTTTGCCAATTTTATATAAAATGCCTCCTAAGAAAGAAGGAAAATCTATGCTTTTAAATGGTTTCATTCCTCATCATCGTGCCTTAACTCCCGATGACAAAAATTCAATTATGTACGGTAACAGAGGTAATGGTTCAGGCCCTAGGTTCCGTACCCCTTCTGATAATAGTGACTACGTGAATAAAGGTCCAATGGGTGAGGAACCTTATATGGTATATACCTTGAGAAAAGGTGGTTACAGAGCATTCATGGAACAATTGAAGAACCCCCATGCTCAAATTAAATCAAATCTGTCTGGTAGTTTCAATAACAATAACTATACGAAGAATAACAATTATAACAGGAATAACTATAACCAATATAACAATCAAAATAACTACAACAACAACTATAACAACAACTATAACAACTACAACAACAATAACTACAACAATAACTACAACAATAACTACAACAACAATTACAACAGCAACTACAACAACAATTATAACAACTACAACAACAATTATAACAACTACAACAATAATTATAACAACTATAATAGAGGAAATAACGGATCTTCTAGGTCTGGGTTTATCCCAGCACCTAATCGTGGAAACTATGGTGGAGGCAATAACTACAACAACCAATACAACAGTTACAGACGTTAATAACTCTAGCTTAGCACTTGTATATTAGTTCATTATGTAAAATTATCAAAAATATCGGATCTTATTATTAGTGTAGTCGCATGCAAAAAAAAGGGAGATGTTTACGAGAAGTGAACTGTGGATTTTCATATCGAATTGCATTAGTAGACTAAGAACAACAGCCAATTGTTAACCATTGATGATTATGACTAAAGAAGATACAAAGGAGTTGTTTTACTTGACTGGTACTAACCAATTGGTTCAAGCAGAGCAGTCGTCGGGAGGCGACTTCAAAGTTAAGGTTGGATCCACAGTCCCTGATGACTCTATTCCTAGAATTAGCCTGGACAGATTAGAAATCAAGAATGATGAAGTTTACGTTGTTGATTCGATCAAAGCTGGAATTGAAAGGTCAGAACAAGAATTTGGAATCTACAATGGTATTCTTAGGCCGATATTTGAACTTTTGAAAATTAAACATGAACACTTAATCACCGAGACATCTACTTCAATAAAAGAGTTTGGAGAATCTTTGAAAGGGTCAACCAAACAAAAGACGGTAATTTTTATTAGTGGGGATACATCCATTAGTGAATTTGTTAATTCATTAACTAAGGCATCATCCAGTAGCATATTGAAGCTTTTCGTAATACCGGCTGGCACTGGGAACAGTTTGGCTCTATCTATCGGTAACAATGGAGTGTTGGACTCTATAGCAAAGTTATTCACTCATTCAAGTAAGGATGTTCATCCGTTATACTTATATGAAGTGGAATTCCCCTTGGGATCCTATTTTTTATCACAAAGTGAAAAAACTCAGGAAATCACCAAACCTTACAAGTTTTTGGTTGTTTTTTCTTGGTGCTTCCATGCTTCTTTGGTTGCTGATAGTGATACTCCAGAGCTTCGTAAGAATGGGATTGAAAGATTTAAGATAGCGGCGTTTTCAAATTTAGCTCAAGAACAAAGGTATGATGGAACCGTTCAAGTTGGATCAAAGAAATTTGAAGGTCCATTTGCATATTTAGTTATTACCCTGTCCCAAAGATTTGAGCCAACATTTGAAATTCTGCCTAAGGGAAACATTCTCGAAGATAGCTTATATCTAGTTAGTTTTAAAACCGAAGAGACCGAAACGGCTGAACAAGATCCTTTAGTAAAAGGCAAATATATTATGGATATAATGGGAGAGGTTTACAACAAAGGAAAGCATATTGAAAATGATAAAGTTATATATGAGAAAATTGAAGAGGGTCAGAATATTGAAATTCTTATCAAAAATGCCAAAGTGGAAAGAAAAAGAAGATTTTGTTTAGATGGGTCTATAATTCTATTACCTGAAGAAGAAGAAAATAAGATCGTGGTGAGACCCACTGGTGATACTCATAATAATTTTAAATTACGAATTATCAGCTAATATATTATTAAAGTTCCTTGAATATTATGAAAATTAATTGTGAACTATTTATACGAAGTCTATATATATGCCTTAATTAAATCCGTCTATAAATCTATATGCCTTAAATCCATTTTTCCGATTTGATGATTAAGTAAACCAAACAAAGGCTAGTAATACTACATAACCCAGCCATTAAAGAGTAACAACCAGCAATAGTCACAGTTTGGACCATTTTACTTAAAACTGCAATGAAAAGGGCGGCACACCAACACCTTGTGAAATTAACACAAGAACTTGAACCCGAAGATTGATTTGGATATAAATCAATTAAAACTGTAGTTGAAATAGTTAAAAAATTCATTGCCCCAAAACTAATTAAAAAACTTGCAACTAAAACCAAGGCAACTGGACCTTTTAAATGAATAGTCCAGCCGAAAATAAACGAGCCAATAATCGATAAAACCGTTGGTAAAATGGCAATTGATAATCTAGCTTTAAAAATATTAAATTTAGGGTAATTATTATTAACCATTAATTGACTATTTTCTTTGAAAACCCGAATTTTTTCTTTATAATTTTTATAATTTCTTTGATAACACCAATCTAACAATTTACCAATTGTGATTGAGCCAGTCAACCCACCAATACCACTTGGAATATAAGCCAAGGCAATTTGAGAAAGAGAATATTCATAAGTTTTAGATAAAGAATTAGATAAAGTCGTTAACATCATCAACCAAAGGGAATAACTTATTGAAGCCGGAATTAAAGTTAATAGAACTGGTTTATTACGTAAAATAAGTAAAGGAGCCAACATATTAAACGATTTAGATTTAACAATTGTATTATTCTTATCAACTCTTCTTTTAGTAAAATGTTTCAAATGTAAGATTGGAGCAATTGTTATGAATCTAAATTTTTTTGGTAAACTTGAACCATTACCAACTATATTTCTTGAAGTTTCTGGTAGTAAAAATAAATCAACCAATAATGTTATACCGGCAGATATTGCTAAGAAATAAAAGATACCTCTCCAAGTGAAACGGGTTGAAATCATCCCACCAATTAACGCACCAAAAGCTTGTCCCAATAAACTCAAACCGGTTGATAACCCAATAAAAGAAGCTCTATCAGCTTTTGTAGTTATATCACTTGCAATCCCGGAAGCAATTGATAAAGTAGAGGAAATACCAAAAGCTTGTAAGCATCTTAATAAGATTAAACCAGTAAATGAATTATTAAGAGCCAACCCGATATTAGCCAAGATATAAATGATCAAACAAGTGATTATGATTGATCTTCTACCTAATTTATCTGAAATATTTGAAAAAATTATTGGAGCCAAACCTTGAAAAATTGAATAAACAACAACCGTAATATTCAATTGTTCTTCAGTTACATTGAAAAAAGTTTGTAAATTTGGTAACACTGGTAAGTATATTGGACTTGAAATACTTGACCATAACCCGGTTATACCACCTAGAAATACAATTATATATTTCTCTCTTTTATTATAAATAGAATGAGGTATTGAATACAGTTTTTCTAAATTTTCAACAACCTCCTCACTTAATTGATTATTCGAATCCCATGAAGGTATTTCATAAGTGGTTTCATTAGTGATCGACGACAGTCTTCCTCTTCTCATGACCGAATTCTGATTATTTATATTTGGTTGTTTAGAACCAATTGACGTAGTGGAAGAATTACCATCCAAATTTGATTCAACCATAAATTGAACTGGGAATGGATGAATGGTTTTCGCTTTATTTATCCCAGTCATATTATCTTGTTGTACAAATTTTAAATTCATGATATGCTATACTAATAACAAACCAAATTTCCATTCAATTTGGGGAAACTGCTGCAAATATATAATCCCGGATTAACTAAAAATGTCACGGAACAACTTTGGCCAATCTCGGGTGACTAAACCAATCGAAATTCTAACTGCCAAAGGCGATAAAACAAAAGAAAACATCGACTCAGTACTTGCAGAAATGACACACAGTCATACTCTCCTGTCCAAGCTATACGAAACAGGGTAATGGCTTGCGAGATAAGAAAAGTAACCATAAGCTAATGATCGATTCGGTGATTAATGCGAATCTATCGACTCAGGTGATAGCTCGCTCGAAAAGGCTGAAAAAAAAAAGAAACGAAGGCATTTTTCTGCAACAACTTATGCGCTAAGTGTACTGAGCTTCTTGGCCTGGAACAAGTGGTGTCCAAAGGGTTGGTCCAAGCCGTGTCCGGTAGCCAGGCTGAATAAAAAAAAATAGATAAATATATGTCCACACAAAACACCAGTACACCAAACAGCACCTGACAAGTCACATGACCTGGAATCCGGGCACCCAACCAGAAAATACACCCGTACACCACAATCGAATCGCGTTGAGGAAAATTCCGTGTTTATGGGTAGATTCCGCCCCACCACGGACGCCAACAGAACGGAAGCACGTACGGGATGGGAGCATTATCGGAGCACAGGAGGGGTTTCTTACCCAACCGAGTATTTTCTGTATTGGTTCCCGGGACCACTGAATCTGGAGGTGTTTGTAATCAGATCCATGGGCCCATTTTCCCTCTCGTATTAATGAGTTCTGGAAATCGTATTACCACCTGAAATCGTATGAAAGCTTGGTATCTTGGAGATGATCGCAATGTGGGAAACGATTGTATCTGGGGAGTGATTGTAATGGTTTGTGGAAAGATTGTGATGGCCGAAAGATTTGGTTGTGTTTCCCATAGTTTAGACTTTAACAAAGATCTCCCCCACAAAAATCCTGCTGCGTATTGTTTGGCGTATGTACACCCCATCCCCACCAGCAAATGGTTCCCCAGCGACTTCCGAGGGTAGCGTCCAGGGTGATTGGTGGACCCATAACCAGTTTGACACGGCGTAATGCGGAGACTTTTGAGTACTGTCTTTCAAAGGCTTCTCCTCCCCAAGTTGCAGGTTTATGGAGTGGTTGGTTTTTTGCAGCAAAGTTTTTTTCTTTGATGTTTCATGATATTCCTAATATTCCAATCCTATGATGTCTTGTCCCGGGCAGTAGGTATTTACTCCTCTTAGACTGGGATTTTGGGTTGTTGGAGTAAAGCTGGTTTGTTGAATGGGAAATATCTTGCCATAGGCTATTGGCTTCGAGGGCGACTCTGCCGGCCTGTTGAACTGAAAACCATTAATGAAAAAAACAAGTTATTGATCTTTAGATCACAGCATTAACGTTCGTTGTTTGGTTGATACGACTTATTTGGCTGTTACAGATTGTGCAAGTACAACAGCCTTTATTATCATGGTTAGTTCACGTCAAAAATTTTCGCAGTTCGATTCCACAAAAACTCTTCGTAAAACTCGTGATGGTTATAATTAACGAGGCCATGAAAAACTTGACAGGATCCAAGACTAGGTTCTACTTGCAGCTTTCTTCATCAACCATTTGGCAGCTTTGGAATCTGGAAAAGTGTGGGTCCCGATGAAACTCGATTTAAGCTTGTTCCTAGTGCTATTTTCTTATTTATTTGTAATTGTCAACTCTGCAGTTATTAATAGTAAGCCTTTGCAAATTGTCGATATCACTAAGAATGACATAAGCCCGTTTGAAGATGTCGAAGATAAGAGAGGCCACTCATCTGGACACTCATCTGGCCACTCATTTGGACACTCGTCTGGGCACTCATCTGGGCACTCATCTGGACATCGTTCCAGACCTAAAACCCACTATACTCCCAGCTCAACTTCTGGAATTTGTAATAGGGGGAACCAACGATTCTACTGTGCTACTGGTGCTTTGATTGGTTCTGCCGGTTATGTTCATGGGTACCACAGATACCATAACGGAAGTTACTATATTTCCAGTGCTATGACGAGTCATGAAAGCCCTTTATCGTCAATTATTTTAGGCATCATCATTTTAAAAATCTTCTTATGATACAAAAATATTATCTTTATAGAGTTTATACATTTATACATTTAAAAACTAATATACAAATTTGAATTAATTACTGGGTTTCTTATTAGACCCTTGCACTTTATTAACAAAAGGTCTCTTTCTATTATTTTGATTATTTTGGTTGTTTTGGTTGTGTTGGTTGTGTTGGTTGTTTTGATTGTTCTGATTGTTCTGATTGTTTTGGTTGTTTTGATTATTCTTTTGTTGGTTATTCGCGTTTGGATGATGAACACTCAAGGTAGATTCCGTAAATTGGTGTCCCAAAGCTGGCTTTTGCAAAGTTGGATTCTGAAGCCCCGGAGATGGAGTCTGTGCAGTAGCCGGTGCTACGGACGTATTGGCAGTGGCAGCTACTGGAACCTCAGGTAAGGTGCTACCTGAATTTGGTGCAGCATTAGTGTTCGTTTGAGGCTTGTTTGATTTTTCTTCCAATTTCTCAATCTTTCTGGTTAATACTCGAAGTTTAAACTCATGCTTCTTTTCTATACTTTGTTTTTCCTTAGCTAATTGTTCTCCAAAGTCATTCTTCAATTTAGCAATTTGTGCTTCGTAATTGTTAATCAAGCTAGTTTTTTCTTCTTCAAAATTACCACCATTAGATTCAGATTTGGCTTGTGATACTTTATTTTGTAACTCTTGCTGAAATTCATCTTTCAATCCTTTTTCTGATTTTTCTAAAGCTTCAACTTTCGATTTCCATTCTTGCTCTATCTTTGACCTGAGTTCGTCTTCATTAACTGCAGTATTGGCTTTGGATAATTCTTCTTTCAATTTTTGATCAAATTGACTTTGTAAAGTCTGTTGAAGTTTTGTCTTTTCATCGTTAAACTGAGATCTCAATTTATTGACTTCCTCTTCAAAATTAGGATTAGAATTTACGGATTTACCTTGTTCGGTAAGCGTCTTGATTTGTGCCTCTAATGAATTCTTTTCTCTGGTTAATGACTCAACTTTTTTATTGGCTTCGTTAATATTTGCTTCTAACTTACTCAATTTCTCATTTGTTATGTCATCCACCTTATCACTCTTCTTCTGTTCTTCCAATTCTTTGTTTAATGATTCGGCTTTGGTTCTATGTTCTTCAATTTGTTTTTCCAACTCCTTGTTTTTATTTCTGTGTGTAGTTAATTTAGCCTTGAACTCATTCTTAAGGTTTTCAAATCTTTGCATCATGGCAGTTAATTCTTCATTATTACCAAGCTGAGCCTTCAACCTCTCATTTTCTTCCATGATCAATCTAATTTGTTGCTCCTTGAGTGCTAAATCATTGCTATTTTCATTGGAGTTGACTCCAACCGGCACGTTATTAGTGGAAATGTTTTTGATTTCTTCTTGTAATGATTCAATCTTCTTAAGGTAATTGTCATTTTCATTACGTAACGTAGTGTTGCTTTCACGTAGTATATTCAATTGCTGTAATTGTTCTAGAATACGATCATGTTCATTGTTTGCATCATCTATTTCAACACGACTAGATTGTAATTTAAGCAATTGAGATTTAGTGGCTTCCAACTCTAATGAAGTGTGATCCAATTGTTTTTGAAGCCTTTGTTGTTCTTCAAGAGCAACGGTAGACTTACTTTCAGCCGACTCTTTTTCACGGCGTAAATAAGATACAACTACTTTCAAGTCTTCTGATCCTTCAATAGCTTCTGAAGTAGAATTATGAGATTTGGTTAATTCTAATTGATTCAATAAAATTGAATACTGACCTTGCAAATCGCTAATCTTAGACTTAGAGTTATCCAATTCTTCAATAAGTCCTTCCTTTTCAACACTGAACTCATTATCTCTAGAGTTCAATTGAGATGTGGTCGATTCTAAAGTATTCTTCAATTCACCAATTTCTCCACTTAATTTTTCAATGGATTCCTTATAGCCAAAAACTTCTCTGGTTAATAAGTCGTTCTCCGACAATTTTTCTTGGTATCTCAGTTGAATGCTTTCATTTATTTCAACTTGAGATTGAAGTTCTTTATTGACTGTTTCGATTCTGTTATCATAATCCCTCTTCAATTCGTCATAAGAAGAAGCTTTGAACTCCAAGCTTTGCATTTGTGATTTCAATTCTTGAGATTCGTGATTATGTTTATGTTCAGCTTCAGACAATTGCTGCTTGACATCTTCAAGTGAAGCACTTAATTTTTTGACTTCGTCTTGTAAAGATTCTTTTTCGTGAATGAGAGAATTGCATTTGGAGTCACTCTCCTTCTTATATTCTTCGAAGGAACCGGTTGCATTAACTAAAGCTTCTTCCGCACCTTGAGCGATTTTAGTAAATTCATTCACTTGCTCTTGAGCAACTTGCAATTCGTGTTTTAGGTGGTCGTAATCATGCAATAATCCAGACTTTTCAGACGAATCGAGATGCATAGATGAAGTGACAGATGAGGTACCATTGGATGATGTTTTTGCAGATTCACGAAGTTCATTGATTTTGGCATTCAAGGTATCTACTAATTTTTGTTTCTCAATCAACTTAGATTTGGCTTCAAGTAATTGATGGCTAATTTCATTAGCTTGCTCCAATTTAGCGTTTTGAGCGGATAATGCTAAATCTGCTTGGTTACTTAAGATCTTGATTCTTTCTTCTTTCTCGTTAATTTCAACTCTCAAAGTTTTGTACAGTTCTTCAAGGTCTTCTGAACGTTTTTTGATTTCTTTATTGGAAGCTTCCTTATCACTGATGAAAGCTTGTAAGCTTTTGAGATATTCATTGAGGTGAAGCTTATCTGTTTTCAATTGTTCGGCTTCTTCTTTGGATGCCTTTTGAGTGGAATTAACGATTTCCAATTGAGTGTTCAAATTATTGATGGTGATTTGGTCATTCGAAGATTTGACTTCAGCATTCCTTAATTCATTGGATTTGCTTATTAACAAGTTTTCTTGTTTGGAAACTTGGTCTTTCCAGAAAGCTATGTCATTTCTGAGATGATCGATCTCTTTGGTAGCATTTTCCAAAGATTTTCTTGAACTTTCAAAACGAGTTTCAGCAAGATCAGTGGCATGTTTCAATGAAGCTAATTGTAAGCTCAAGTCATCCTTCGCACCTCTAGTTTCATTTAACTTATTGGTTAAATCTTTAATTGAGTTATTAGATTGAGATTGAAGAGTCTTAAGTATACCTTCGCTTTCATTCAATTTTTTCTTCAAATCTTCGTTAGCAGCAGTAAGGACTTTAATTTCAGAACTAGAACCATCTGATTTTGTACCATGGGAAATTTCTTTGAGAAGATCCCTTTCTCTTGAAACTGCGTCGTATTTAAGATTGATACTTTCGAGTTCGCTTTGTAAAGTCAAAATAGCTTCTTTGGCTTCTTCAATAGCTGCTGCTTCGAATCCTCTTGTTTCTTGTTCTTTGGATTCCAATTGTTTTGTAAGTTGTCTAATGACAGTGATTAAATCTTGATTTTTGCGTTGTAATTCAGCAACATTAGCAAAACCCAAGAGTCTTTCAGAAATGAGTTTATCAGAATCAGTCTCTTCAGTATCTGTATTACCTGATTTATCTAAAATAGTCTCGATGGCATTTCTTTCTGCTGCAGTCAATGGGTCTTGATCACCTTCTCTAACTTTAGAATGAATCAAATAATAACATAATTGTTTACCTAAATCTTTCGATAATTGTTTCAAAGATTGAACCTCACTTTCATATTCAGAGAGTCTTAGTCTTAATCTATTAGAATTTTTAACACTTTCAGATTTTTCAATTCTGATAGTTTCAACTTTTCCAATCATTTCTTTTAATGAATTTTCGTAAAATTTAATTTGATCACGGTAGTTTGCGATTGCAGGTTTTTTGGATTCAAGTTCAGCAACAAATAATTGCAATTGATTGGCCAATTTATCTTTTTGAGATCTTTCTAAGACAAGTTGTTTCTTCAAATAATTGAATTCAGAGTATAAAGCTGATAATGAAATTCCACTATTTTGATTTGCAACAATTAAACCAGCAGAATTAGTCAATTTAGGTAAATCAGTTTCTTTATGGAGTTCAGCATCTAGGACTTCTTCAGTTCTTCTCAATTTCTCTTCTAAAACAACAACTTTTTCAATTTTGACCTTTAATTCTGCATTAAGTTTATTTATAGAATCTCCCATAGTAGTTTTGATTTCTTCGATATGAGACTCCAATTGGTTAATTCTTTCGAGTCTATCATCAGATTGAACCTTTGTAATTTGGAAAAGTTCATCTTTACTATCTAATTCTTTAGAATATTTAATTTTTTCAACTTCCAATTTAGATTCTAATTGAGAAGATTTTGAAACCAAATTTTCTACTTTGGATTGAAGTTCTTTATTTTCATCTTGTTTTTGTTGGTTAACTCTTTCTAAGGAATTTTTTGAGCTAGACAAGGCAGAAATTTTATTAGAGTTGGTAATGTATTCACTTTCTTGTTTCTTTATTAAATCACTATATTTAGATTGAATTGATTTTAATTCCTTTTCATACCAATCTTTTTGATTTTTTATATATGCTATTTCATTAGTGACTTTCGATAATTCTAATTTGAATTTGAATTTTTCATCACTAACTTCACTCAATTGTTTATTTAATTCATTTAATTTTTGAGTTTTATCAATTTGAGATTGGGTTAATCTGTGAACAGTTTCATTAAGTTTACGAATTTCTTGATCTCTTGAGCCAATTGCTGTATTAAAATCAATATCGAAATCATTCTTCGAGTGTTCTAATTTATTAACTTTAGAAGATAACAAAGAATTTTCGTCTTTCAAAGAACTAATAAGTGCTGAATTAGAATCTCTACTCGATGATAAAGATTCATTTTCAGCGGTTAACTTTGAATTTGATTCGGACAATTTTTCAATTTTTTTAGTGAGTAAAGTATATTTTTTCTCTTGAATTTGATTTGCTTGTTCTTGATTGAGTTTTAAAAACGAAACTTCTGATTTAATACTTTGATATTCATTTGCTCTTTGGCGTAATGTTTCAAAAAGCTCTGGATTATCTTCAATCTGTGATAGTGATTGGGAGCTGATATTTAAAAATGATGCAACAATTTGCAAGTTATCAAAGTTATTTTCTGTATTTCTCAAGAAGGTATCATTAATTTCAGAATTAATATTTTCTTCACCTTCAATAATACGGTCATTGGCATGACCACGATTAGAGCTTTCATTTGATTGTTCATTGTTTTGTTGAATGACTGGAGAACTATTGACTGGAGCTGCATCATCTTTAGCCACACTAAATGATTTTGGAGTTGTTATTGGTTCAATATCTTTCAATGGGGGTAAAGATTTCAGCGGGGTTGCAAACTGTTGAGGCGGGTTTGATAAAGGATGCTGTAATATTACAGAAGTATTGGGTTCGTCGATATCCATGTTATCTTGATCTATAACCCCAGTGGTTGCCGCTTCTTGTAATGTTGGTTTAGGTTCTTCTGATTCATGTTCATCTGGTTGCTGTTCTTCTGGTTGCTGGGCATCCTGTTCGTCAATGGGCTGCTCGGCAACAACAATGGCAGGAACATTATCATGGTTTGGCTCTTCTGGCTGTTTATTTTGTTCCAGAACATTAGCCCCTGGTTCTGATATTTGTTCGTCATTTGATATATTCTGCTGGTCCAAATCGAGGAATTGATTACTCAATTGTTCGGGTTCTTCAGTTGGAACTTGATTTTCTGCAGAAGTGTCCTGATTAGAGGAAACCTTCTCCGACTGGCTATTATTTTGATCACTCATCTTTATGAAACCACTCTCAGCGGCTAGCAATTAAATGAATGTAAATGGGGCCAAATTGAATGAAGTTAACCAAAAGAACTTTTGAAGCAGTGTTTCAATGCTATATTCAGTGAGTATCCTATTTGATTAATCTCCAAAACTATTCCTTTTGATAATTTTATCACGATAGAGCTGGTTATTCAAGCCAATCTTTTGATAATTTTTGATTTTCTTTTGGAAACCAAACGCGACATTTACAAAAGAAAAAAAAAAACAGACTCCGCGACATTTAACGACATCCACCGGAACTTTCTCGAATCATGTGATGGGAACCGGAACTCGTCTAGGGCTGCAGCCCTCTTCGGCTGCTTGACGCACGTGCGAGTGCGCATCTCAAATTAACCAAAGAAGAAGAAAAAACAGCGAAAAAAAAAAATCCAAAACGTTGTGAACGGGAAAAAGTGAGCGAGCTTTGGTTTGGGAGAAAAAATTGAAAAAAAAAAAGCACATACTTAATACTCTTTTGAAGTCTTGTTACTTCTATAGATATTCATAGCTAACCAAAGATGATTGAACCATCCTTAAAAATCTTAGCTTCCAAATACAACTGTGAAAAGTCTATCTGCCGTAAATGTTACGCCAGATTACCTCCAAGAGCCACCAACTGTCGTAAGAGAAAGTGTGGTCACACCAATCAATTAAGACCAAAGAAGAAGTTGAAATAGTCTATTTCGCCCCCCTTTATATATATATATACATTATTGCATCTTGTTTCTATCGTCTGTCATGTTAATTGAATGTTGAGTGTTGACATTTCCTATTTGTTATTCATTTTTGTCTATAATGTTTTTGATGAAAGCAAAATCATATCAATGTGGGTTTTGAAAAATGCTTTAATATTATGAAAGAGGGTATATTTGGATGTGATATGTATTTATGTTTATGAACTTCTTGTTTATTAGTTTAATAAAATTATATTACTACGTACTTTGTCAGGAGTGCTATTTCATTTGACTAAGTACATCAGAGTCCACTGAAGTCACTGCTTGGGTGAAGACTTGAGTTTCTGTCAAATAGTTTAGCCAATGTAGTTTATTCATGTAGCAACCATTGTTATATCACCTTACTACTAAGAGATTAGGTCTTTATCCCGAATGCTAACCGTAGCAACAACCACAACAAGCCGCAGAAGGCTTTAATTCACCTATCAACCTTGACTACAACAAATAAATATACTAATTATAGAGAAGTTAGAATAGAAAACTAAGATTATCTATATCTATATTTATATCGGGTGTACGGGCTTTGAATTACTAATTAAAACTCACCTTTTATTTTTTCTTATGGAAACAACAACAAAATCCAAAAATTAAATGGATCGATCGATATCTTACACGCCATCTTATTAACAAGAGATAATAATATCTAATAAATCAATCCAATTAATAACCAAGTGTATCGAAGCTGATTATTGCTTAACCGGCTCATCCATCAATAGCATTAGCCGCCCAGCTTTATTCCTCTTGTCTCCATTCCACTGTGATCCGTTTGTTTGCCTTCTACTTGGGTGATCCGTGATGAATGACGATACAACAAATTTCACCATTTCTGATTTGGCAAATCAATCATCTCTTCCTTTAAACCAACGTTTGCATAACAGTAACGGTCAAGGATTTCAACAAGGTCAAAATCAGCATAATATATCATTTAATCAAATGCCAATTCAATCAGATCAACATATGCATCAGTATCTTCCATCTCATCAACAGCAACCACAACAGCCACAACAGCAGTCGCAACTGATTCAACAAACCCCTCCTCCTATCCAGCAACCTCAACAACAACAACCACAGATTACCCAAGTTCAACGCATGGGTCAACCTACTCTCCAACAAAAACGTCAAAATAGCATGTCTAACTATATGGTTAATTCATCAAATAAGAGACTTCCAATACAAATGTCAATGAATATGCAAAGTCCTCATGATTACATGTATAATAGCCCTTCTTCTGCACTTAATACGCCTCATAATAATTTTGATCTGACTCAGAATCTCATATCTGCACCCACTTCTCCTCATGTTTCATCACCTCGTTATAATAATTCACTTGGTCGCATCAATGATATGAGACGGAATTTAGTTCAACAGCAGCAGCAACAGCATAAAACTCCTACTCCTTCCGCATATGAAATCCCTTCAAGTCCTAATATTAACCCTATGTCTAATTTCTCAATTCAAAACCACTCCGATTCTCCTGATTCAACTCCAGCGGCAGATCCGGCTGCAAAAATTCAACTGGATAAATCACAAGAAATTTCCATGATCAACAACGATTCCAGTTTCGTATCTTCCGGTAATGTGAGACAACCACTGCAATCATTGCAGCTGCAGCAACAAGCTTCACTGGTTCCAATGAGTCAAGATCAATCCGATCAAGGTGGTGTTTCCACTGCTCAACAACAAAATCGGATTATGTCAGAAGATGAACAAAAATTGGCTACAAAATTAAAAGAAACCTATAAAATGATTGTGACTTACGAAGAGATTGTTCAAAAAAGTTGTGTTGATATTACAATGAAAATCAATCAAGCTTCGAATGGTAACGGTAATAACATCCCTTACGGAAATCAGTTTACTGGGAATTCTAATTCGTCATCATCAATATTATCCAATCAGTCTAAAACCTCTGAACTTTCAAATGATTTGTGGACAGTTTATCATAGTAACGTGACCCTTTTGGATAATTACTATGATTTCCTCATAACTGCATTAAAACCATCTGCCAATCAAAATCAATTCAAAACTGGGAAAAGTATCGTGGACTTATATAAAATACCAAGACGTATGTGGGTATATGGTATTGTTGGATTTTTGGAAGTTTTGAAAAATATAATTACTATTTTCCAAGATCATGAAATATGCCTGTGTTTCATTGCTTTTTGCTTCAATATTATATCAAACCTTACTGATCCTGCTTTCGAAATGGAAGGCTGGTGGTGTGAAAAATTAGGTGATTTGTCAAGAATGGCCATTGCCTTATACTCATCAAGATTTATCGATTGGAAAATCAGTGCAGAATATTGGTACTCAATTGCAATGAAAACTTTATATGGACACGGTAAAATTTACTATCATATGTGTACTGTTCAACAAGATAACTTAGATGCTTTAGTAAACATTGGTAAAGCCGTCATTTGTCGTGATCCATTTGTTCCCACTCAACAATATTTAAAACTAGTCGTTGATAATATTTGCACTCAAAGAAATATTCTTACATTATTGGAATTACCAATAATTGATTTCATCAAAATTCATAAAGTTTTATTAAGCATTCATAATCCAAACAGTAACAATTCTCAAATAGTAAAACTGGAAAATGAGGACAATATTCATGATACACAACTGCAATATGGTATAGACTTAGTTACAAGATACGGCTTGACATTTGGTAGCGACTCTAATGGTTATAATTTTTTCACTCGTGCATCTTACACTCCCTCAGGTATTATTAACGATCCTCATAATCCCTACTATATGCAGCAACAGCAATCTGGCACTGCAAATACAATTGAAAAAATGAACTTTTGGTTCAATAAAGGACCATTATTTGCCATAGCAAACATTAACCATTTAGTTGGTTTAGGTGATGCTAAAAATCCATTTGCAAAGATATTTCAATTACCGGAGGCATTAAAGGAACGCAAAGATAAGAAAGATAAAAAGAGAAAGTCCAAGAGTGGAACATCCGTACAAGAACAAGAAGAACTCAAGGATTTTGCATCCAGTGGAACAAACTTTGCTAATAGTGGTGTTGACGGCTTAACAGTTTCTGCATCTGATTTATCAATCAATGATTGGTTTTATTGTTTGAACTACATCAATAAGTCTGTTTTAGAATTGTCATTTCGTATTTTGAATAACTACCTCGTTGGTCCAAAACAAGCATCAACTTCTCACGTTATTGTGTGGTTATATTTTTTGATATCCGTTGGAGAAGCAATAAATAAGTTTCCAAATTCACAAAATATGTTTTTATGGTTATTCCGTAAGTTATTTCCATGGGATTCCTTCATTAATTATCTTAATTCATTGGTTACTGTGACCAAGAATAATGTGAAACACAACGAGTTATGTCGCAAATATCTCATTTACCATCCAAATTATATTCAACATTTTAATAATCATGAATTTTTACCAGAAGTATGGAAATGCTGGGGTACTCTCTGGTTTGATTATGTTGCTGCAAAAGATGACTATAACGATTTTGAAGCTGCTGGTGTAAGCAATGCAAATATATTTGATTTGCCTGTCTGTGGTACTAGTCCAATTGTTAATATGACCAATGAAAAGAAATCAAGAGAACAGCTGGAGCAAGTCAATGACGAAAGAATAGTTCGTATCGTTTTATTGGCCAGATTCTTAGCTGATAATTATAAATTTGGCTTGGTAAGAACTAGTGAAGGGTTTAAATTTGATTCAGCCATTTATAATGACGCAGATTTGTTAGTCAATATGGGAGTTCATCAAAATAATATCTTATATTCCTATATTGAAGATTTCATGTTTAGTGATACTAGGTTTGTGCAAACTAATTTTTTGATCCCAATGTCACCAGCAAATTTAGTTGATAGTAAAATGATGGGTCAAATGAGTCCCGAAGAGAAGGATGAACATTGGTTTAAGATAAGTCAACAAGGCAATCCAAATAATGACGAAGAAATTGTTGAATTAGGTGACGATATTGCAGATGAAGAAGAATTAGATGGATATGCTGATTCTGAACTAGACGAAGAAGATTCTGAATATGGCCAACAAAATAATCATCGTCATGAAGATCACATGCAACAACATCATATTTATCACCAAAATCAACATCAACAAGCATTACAACAAGCCCATGGTGGTGGTGCTGGTATTGGCGATGTTTATTACAATGATAATTTTATCATTGGCTCGAATCCTATGCAATCAATTACAGGTGGAGGTAATGAAATACAAATTTTTGGAGATTTAGGTGAATTGATGGATAGTAATATTACATATATTACGCTTGATACCAATATATGGTTAAAACACTGCGGACGGATTTTCAAGTGTATTAGAAATAAGATATTTAAAATATCTATTCCATTAATTGTTTTCCAAGAGTTAAGATCACTTAGAAAACTGGCTGAAGCCACTATAGCTGATGCAGCCACCAGATCGGTCATAATCATTCGGGAATTGTTTTTAACCAATGAAATTGTCCCATTAAGATTTGATGGTACGGTTGCCAATGATATTAATGAAACTACAGAATTTGAAAATAATTCAAATTGGAGAACAAGTGTTGACGAAACCATATTAAATTCAGTAAACGAACACGATGAAATTTGGAAAAAATTAATGAAGGGTGTCAATATGGTATTAAATGGACCACCTAATAATAATGACGAGATCATCAGGCTTAATCCTAAAACTGCCAAAGTATTCCGTTATTGCATTTTGGTTACAGATGATAGAAATATGAGATTGAGAGCTAAGACTATTGGTTTGAGTAGTTTCCAAAGCAAATGGCTATTTGGTCAATTAGAGGTTATTTTCGGAGATCGCTGTATTGACTAAGTCTAGACATCAATAACACTTCCAGAACTAGCAAGATTATCTCAATCAACAATCCCAAAGTATCACTAAAGGTACTGCTTCAGTCACTAGGCAAAAAAGAAAAAAAAAAAAAAAGAAGGAAGAGCAAATCTATTTTCTTTCTTTTTCTGTATTTATTACATATATCTTATATACATTATTAACAAGGACAAGGAGTATACTTGGTATACTTCTTATTCGACGATTATCGTTATTGCATTGCATTATTAAATATCATATATTTTCACAGAACAATTTTCAAGTAATCAAACAAGGAACCTTCAGCGAAGAAGTTTGGTATGTAAATGAATAGCATTGACATTTTCAAATGAAATCTTATTCATAATACACTTTGTATGTACGTTTTTCAAAGCCCACTGTCGTTACGGCAATCTCGTAGTGAAAAACTTGAAAACTTACAACCTTGGTTTACTACCAGAGGCTCATAAAATGACGAACTTTAAGTCTTTTTTTAGAACTTTTCGTTCTCGTTAGGTTGGAGATGGATTCGTGTTCCTCGTTATGCCTCGAGTCGGTTGATAAGTAGCTCCCTAACAACCAACGCCAAAATCAAAGGGAAAACAAACATCAACATACCCTCCCACCAGGTCAACTCAAAGCACATTTCCGAAGGCTTGAGTCTGGCTTCGAGCTAAGCTGTCTGCCAGTTCTGGGCTTGCTGCCACCGCGAACGGAACTCTTCAGCTGGACTCGACGCAAGCGGACGCAGGCCGACGTGACGTCCTCCCATTCACCACGAGTACACCTCAAAGACACCAGGCCCATCAGTTGGAAAGCCAATTGCCAGGGGCAACTAGTATTATTTGTGTTTTATGGACGCAAAAAAAAAATTGAAAAAAGAAAAATAAATGAAAAATTTTTAACCGAAGGGGGGCTGCACAAAGCTCGAATAATGAGCATTGGAAAGGGGCTACTACGGTGTTCTGGATCGAAGTAGCCTATTAATTAGATATTCAAAAGGCAGTGAAAGGGCAGTAAAAGGTTTTGAGTAATGATTTGCAATACCTGTGGGCAGCTAACAAAACAAAAGAAAAATGGGAGAAAGGTACCTTTGTGAGATGTTTCAGGCTGTTTGGTTTCAATATGGCTACTGTTTTAGTTAGGAGATGTTAATTACATGAGTAAGTATATAAAGAAGGTGAATTCTTCAATATATGGCTAATTTGTAGAGTAGTAAGTTTAATCACTAGTCATTCCTTTAACATTGAGCTTCGCTTACTTTGAGCTTTTCTTACTCTAGTCTTTCCTTTAGTCTTTCCTTAAAAACTTACCATAGTCTTTCCTTACTGAAAATGAAATTTACTTTAGCTACTTCCGCTTTTCTTGCTCTCTTGAGTTTTGCAGCTACTAGTCCAGTTCCTGCTCTTCATATTGTCACTGAAACCCATACTGTCATTGCTACCGTTACTGGTGGTAAAGGTCAACCAACCCAAGCTCAAACTCAAGCTACTCCAACTCAAACCGAAGCTCAAACCGAAGCTCAAACTGCTCAAACCGAAGCTGCTCAAACCGAAGCTGCTCAAACTCAAGCTACTTCTGCTGCTCCTTCTCCAAATACTACTCCTCAATTTCCAACCACGTCTACTCCAACCACTACTTCCTCCACCTCTTCTTCTACCTCTTCAGCTTCTGCCTCTTCCGGCTCTAGCTCAGGTAGTAAACATGGTCAAGGTACCTATTACGAACCTGGTTTAGGTTCTTGTGGTAAAACTTCTACCAGTGAAGATAAAATTGTCGCTGTTCCAATTGGTCTTTACAACTCTAAAAACGTCGGTAACACCAACGATAATCCATTATGTGGTAAGAAGATTAAAGCCTCCTACGAAGGTAAGTCTGTCGTTGTTACTGTCGTTGATGCTTGTCAAGGTTGTAAAGAAAATGATTTGGATTTCTCTCCAAGTGCTTTTGAATCTATTGCTGATAAGGATTTAGGTAGAATCGAAATCTCTTGGGATTGGTTAGATTAAAACCATCTTTTTACATAGTTTACGTTTCTTTATGTCAGGTTTAATCATATATTATTTTGGGTATTCACATTTGTAGTTTGCAGTAAATGAGTTTTAACGCGTTTTTTTGACTTCCTCCGCGTCCAAAAAATTGCAACCATTTTTTTATAACACGATTTATCATTTCATTTGAAACGCGAAGTAACTACCTCCAACCAAGAGTTAGGTTTTAAGATTGCTGATTGTGCTGCTTTTAATACATCGGCTTGACGTCATTTTTCAGTACTACAGTACATGTAAATATTCATTCAACTTTATTCAAAATACAAATGCTAATTTTTTATAGTGTCTAATATACAATATAATGATACACACATTATTGGATTAATGAGTCTAATAATGTGAATAATTTGATTAACTCTTTAAGACCGTCCAGTGAAATCAGATTGTTTTGGTAGTATTCACCACTCAATTCCTTCTTCTCAATTAAAACATCTCTTTTGATAACCCCGACTATCAATCGGTCAAATTGTTTCATCATTTCTTTAACTTGGACCATTGATGGTTTATATTGAGGTCCCATCGATAATACGACTGCAGCAACTAACTGGAATACAGGTACTAAAAATTCGTAGTATGAAATATCTTGGTTTTGCGAATCAGTCTCGTCTGCTAAATTTATTGGAATATCCAAAGTTAAGGTGACAACAGTATTTTCAGGATCATTATTTAATCTAATCAGTAATCCTAAGTCTGGATCAATACCAACAAATTTTAGATTTCTTAATGTAGGGAATATTTCATTTTGAATTAATTGTGAAGCACCTTGTCTAGTTTGGGCAATTCTTATCAATAAATAAAGAGTGGCCTTGAAAGCAGTCAATTCATATAATAAAGTGGTGGAGCTGATTCCTGATTCATTTTCTTGACAAACTTTTAACATTTCATCAGTTCTTTTAACTGATCTTACTAACAACAGTAAAGCATTATTTTTGATGATCTTATCTAGTATATAGTTTGAAGATAAATGAACCATGGATTCTAAGAGAATAATTGAGGTTATTCTTGGACTACCTTCAGAATTGATCAGATCATTACAAACCGTGTCAATTAATTTGAAGTCAATCAGTTTCAAGATTTGATTAACTTTATTAATTAATCCTTCGTTACCAAAACTCTTTTGTAAGAACTTATTCAGTAAAACATATAAATCCAGCCTCAATGTTGAACTAGCATTCAGTGAAAGAATACCATTGATACAAGTTTGAAATAATGGTATTAATTTTGTTAAATATAACCCATGTTTTTCGTTGAAGTTCTCACCTTCGTAAACATCAAATAATAAAACACATAATGAAATTAACTCTTCTGCAAATTCTATCTGTGATTCATTACCAAAATAGTTATTGATCTTAGGCAATATATGTTGCAATATTTCTAAAATAAAGTCACACTTATTATTGATCAAATCTCCGTTCACTAGTACTTGAATTACCTGAACCCATGAATGTAAACATCTCAACTGAATTGATGATAACTTGCTAACATGAATAAATTTGTTCAAACCGTTCTCAATGATTGACGATTCTTGAGTTATACTTTCAATAAAGTCAAGCTTATTCACACTCTTGTTTGCTTGACAGCACAATGTTCTATAAATTTTACTCAAGATTCTCTCATCTCTATCGTCATTCTCGAACTCTTTAAGAACTAATTCTAAATCATATTTTTTAGCAATTTCAGTTAATCTGAAATTATCAAAATTATAAAATTGATAATTCAAGATATCTAAGAAATTGACAATTTTAGGAGATCCATTCAAAAATTCATCGCCATTGAGAAGCAATTTGATATAATCATTTTTCTGAGTTAATGATTTAACATTATGTAATTCTAATGATAAGTATTGTAAAATCAAAATTCTGTGATTCATAAACAGGAAAAAAGATTCTTGATTTAAACCGTCTTTTAAAAATTCATTGTTTTCATCATTTAAGTCACCATTAAAGGAGCTCTGGCTCCAAATGGTTTGACTATCGATTTTTGGTTGACTTAAGATCAACCTATTGAACAAATCAAAATTACCATTCCTCAAATATTCCAAAGTAGTATATGACAGGTTCAGGTTACGGCATAAGTTGATCAAAACTTCCAAGATTAAGGAGATAAGTTTGGCTGGTCCTTCATCAATGATATGTTTGTAACCATTGTTATAATCAATTTCACTAATCGAGTCCAAACTATATATCAATAAATTCAAAATACATTTCAAAAGCGAATTTTCGTCATCATATTCTAATAATAATTGATTGCCTTTAATGGTGTATCCCAATAAGAAGTGCGAAATACTGGCATCATTATTATGATCTAACAAGTTTTCGTTCAATAATTTCAAAATGTCATACTTAATTTTCAAATTACCTTGGAAACTCATTTGTTCAATAAAAGAATACTTGATTTTGACAGACTCATCAATGGTTTCAAAAATTGTTACTAATCTATTCTTTGACAATAAAGGATCAGCAACATTATTGATTTTTGCATTGAAAAAGGTGGATTTGCTAATATTTCTCAATAACTTGACTGATAAATGAGCAATCGATTCATTATAGTTCCCAACATAATTAGCAAAATGAGCTATGCTAGATAAGTTAAATAACAAAATTTCGTAAAAGTCAACAACTCCATTTGTACCTAATGTTCTATGGAAATAAATATTGTCATAAATATTCTTGCTGCTGCTGAGTACTAAGCTCATATTGGTTGCCGTACCAAAGCTTGGTGTGCTTTGGGTTTTCAATAATGGTAATAATCTATTGATAAAAGTGTCTTGCACAGTAAGTATTTTATCAACAATTACAAGACCGTCTTGAACTAAGTTTGCTAAATCCTCTGATTCATTTATGCATTCACTTCCAATACTTAAAATTCCAAATAAAGCATTGTAAGCTTTTTCATCAAATAAATAATTTAGAATTGCAATTGAGTGATGTAATTTGATGAATAACTGATAATCGATGTCAAATAAATTATTCAAACTCAAGTTTGGTAAAACTTTCGGAGCAACGTCATTTAAAAATTTCCAATCTATTTCTTCACAAGAATTTTTGATGATTCTTAATATTGTTGATTGTAAATAATATTTACTTTCAAAATCATCTCTCAAGTCAGTGGATTTTGCGAATAATTCAAGTAATAAATATTCAATATATGGCCAAATACCTATTTGGTTATTGATTCTATAGCCGTAACCTAAATCAGCTGGGTAAAGTAATTGATATGTTTTGAAAGCAATGTGCTCATTTTTCAATGGAGCTAATAAATTATGTAATAAATTGACAAAATTACCAACGTTAGAAAGTTGGCTTAAATTTATTTGAAGACCTTGATTGATTTTAATTTTACGATTTTGATACTTCAATTTGAAGTAAGAGGATGATGATGATTTATCCTCCGACATAAAATCAAGTTTTCCTGATCCTTGAGAAGTAGTATTGATGTCTTGATTTTGATTTTCAGATAAACTTTGACAGAACCAACGATCAATGGTTTCCCAAATTTTGAAACGAAGATTTAAATTATCGTCATTTTCAACGAAATCACTTAAAAAGGTTAATAATAAATTGATTAGAACAGCTCTATTCGTTTCATCTATAATAATGTTAGGAGATTCTATTTTCAATGAATTTGAGGACTGACTGATTTGAACATTTTTACTTGAGGTAATTAAATTATCAAATTTCAAGAAGCTATTTATGAGAGGAGAGAACCTGGCGAATGCAATATTTTTGATTTCTTTGGATCTAGGATCTTCATTGGATAAGTTTTTGACAATTGATGAAATGAGCTGAATGAAACCTGATATGAAAACAATGGAATCTTCAGCTAGCTCGATTATTATTCTTTCTTGGTTTGATTGTTTTGTATCACCATTTAAGCTAGAGGAGAATAAAAAGTCTTGCCTCTTTTGATTTTGTTTTAATTGATTAATCAAATCAATTTCAAAATTTTCAATTAATGAGTTGACATAATAATTTAATGAATCAATGATTGAATCAATTGAAATTTTTGAGTAATCATTTTTTTTCTTTGATGAATTTGAACAGTTATGAACCAAAATTTCCCAAATTTTTGCACTTATATCTGAACCACCACTAGTTAATGAAGCAATTAATAAACAAAATGTTGCAGTGATTAAAGGAGACGTATTATTACCTAAACCCCAGGTGATAAAACCAATGATTTCATTACTAATATCTTCATCTTCCCAAAAAGTCGAGCATAATTCAGGTCTATTACTATAAGTATAGACAAAAGCCAAATAAAACCTTTCTAGATCAGATCTGATTGATATTTCATCCAAATCAAGAGAATCATTTGAGCTTTTAGAATTTGATTTGGAGGACAACTTTTCAAGATTGTTGGTAAAGTTGTCGTAGTCATCAATACTATCTTCATTGAAGGGGTCATCTGCTTTATTGTTTTCTTCGGCTTCTAATTGTTTGCGGTTTATTGAGGATAATAAGAAATCTTCTTCACTATTTCTCAAAGAAGTTAGAACTACTGCAGCATTATTAATGAAGCTAGCGAAAAAATCATGGAAAAATGGGGCAATTAAGGAATCACTAAAGCTTGGGGAGATTTTAAATTTTGAAGTTGAAACAAGAAGGGGAATATTTTCCAAACCTGGTTTCAACTTGGATGCATTAATCAATTCTTGAGTATCTGGATAAATAAATTTTAATGGAGATAACCTTGGAAAAGTTTTTTGTAAAAGAGATCTAAAATCGTATAAATTGCGCAATTCCAATAAGTTAGAAGTTGATTTAGAAGCTGTATCGGCGGTGATACATAAAATTTTTTCCATCACACCGTAGTTAACAGTCCAATCGACGTATTTTAGGATATCATCTTTAAAATCATATTTAGTTAGTCTTTGATCCAGTTCTTTACACCAAGAAATGAATTTTATGAAAAAAGTTAAATAGAGAACAATTTCGAAACTTTTCAAGGAAGACTTTGATAAATCTATTTCATCATCCATTTTAACTTTTGAGTAATCGGTTGATAATTTGTTAATGATATTCTTATAAAAACCGTCAACTTCATTATCGGATAAATGAGTAATGTTATGAATTATTTTGAAAAGGGAAGGTAAGTAATGAGCATTCAATAAGTCATCATCGGATAAATTTTTACTTATATGGCTTGTGAGTTTATTAAAACAATCGACAGAATTCAATTTATCAAAATAATTATCAAATAGACCGAATAATATTGAGCCTAATAACTCATGGTTATTCCATAATTGATTTTTCAAATAATTTATGGAATTGATGAATGTTAAATCATTGATATTACTAGTCACTTTTTGTTTAACTATAGAGTTATTAATCAATTCTAGTATTTCATAAATTTTTTCAAAACTTGATAATACATTTTTGAAAATAATATTTGGGTCTTGCGTTAATAAGTTTAATTGGCTAGAGGTAATCAAATATCCCAAGATGTTTAAGATATAATCATATCTTTGACAGAATGCCAACCTCCCACTATCTAAAAAGTCAGTACCTTTATTAAAGCTAATTTCAGAAGCATTCGATAATAATTCACAAGAATGTAATTCATCTAAGTTTAATTGATTTGAAAATAATATAGAGTTTTCAATAAATGGTTTATTCAATTTGAGCTCTCCTTCTTGAAGTTTCACCATCTTGTCTGATTCACCTTGGCCCAAAGCTAATTTATTCCTGGATGTTTCACTTTTACTAGGTATTATCAATATTTGTTTTAAATCATGTTGTAATGAACCAATTAGCTGTATAGGAACATGGTCCTCGAATTTGATGGCATTATAGCATTCGAGGAACACTTCGGGCGACCACTTATACGAATTGGAAGTCGTCATGCTTAAGATATGAAGTGGAAAACTCTGAGCTTTGAATAACCGCCAACGACTTTTAAAGAAAAAAAAACATCACCAAAAAGATGAGATCGGTTTTTTGCAGTTTGATCTTGGTGTTTTGCATGTTTTCAAATAGCAGTTTCTGTCTGTATTTTTGCAGTTTTCTCTATTGCAGTTTGTGGCTGCAAACTTTTGCAGGTTGTGGTGTTAATGGACACCAAAAGCAAGGATTTACTATATGTAGAGAATGATCATCACTTTAGAAGAGCATGTTGCTTTTACTCAATTAGTCTACATATGCTTACCGAATTCAGTACTAGTGACCCCAACCCCCTTGGCTGCAAATGTGAGGGGTTTGGGTCCGTATTTACGGAGCAGAGACTATCGGAGACTATCACTAGCATACCGGACGTAAAGCGTAACACCATATAGCATATGGAAAATTGCAAATGTTATGTCCAGTAGAACTTAGCCCAACAACTTTTTTGCAACAAAGACAAATGAGTTACTACACATATCGGTGAAAATAAATAAGTATCATAATAGAACGCACGTATGTATTGAAATATGTAATAAATAAGTTAATCTAAACCAATGAAAACCCCATTTTGGTGGCACATTGTTAATTGGGAGTTCTTTCTTGGGGGATATTCATCATCGTAAGAGATGATATTTGGGAACATTTGGAGCAATCTTGTAACCACATAACTAGCTTCAGTTAAAGCAAATTGTTGACCTAAACAAATACGAGGACCACCATTAAAAGGTAAGAAAGCCCAACCCAATTTTCTTGTTTCTGGTTCAAACCAACGTTCAGGTCTAAAATCATTTGCATCTTTACCGTAGAAAGCGGTGTTATGATGGGTTGCATTAACTGAATAAGAAAGTAACTGACCTTTAGAAACAAAAATTGGAGATTGACCATCAGGTCCCCCACCTTTTGGTAATGAAGTATCTTTAGTAGCGATACGGAAATTTTGGGGAACTGAAGGGTATAATCTTAAAACTTCATTGAGAACAGCTTTCAAATAATCACATTTTTTCAATGATTCGAAAGTAATTTCCTCAATTCTTGAATCTTCACCAGAACCAAATTTCTCATAAATCTCTTCCTTCAATTTTGACCAAATTTGAGGATTTCTTGATAATTCAAAAAAGGTAAATGAAAGTAAACCTGCAGTAGTATCTCTACCAGCCAAAAGAATATTAAGTAATTGATCTCTTAAAACAATTGGATCTCTTGTTTGTTGAACAAGTTCATATAAAAAGATATAACCACCTCTTGATTTTTCAGCAAGTTCTTCTGGCAGAGCTTCCAAAGCTTTTCTAACATAAAAATCAGCAAATTTATGAACAATAGCATTACATTCTTTAAATTCTTTATTGTTAATCAAAAAGTAAAATTCAGAAGAAATGGCTCTAGTGGCAAGATAATTTTGAGAAGTATTAAAAGCATAAGCAAATTGACGTTTACCTTCAAATTCTTCTGGTAATTTACTTATATCATAAACAGTTTCATCTTTTAAACTTTCCACTGATTGACCAAATAAGAATTCCGTTGCTGAATCAACAGTCAATCTGAAAAATAATTCTTGAATATCAAATTTACCCCCATTTGGATATTTTTGAATATGTCTAGCCAAAACTTGAATATGAGGTTCTAATGATTTAACATGAGCAACTTGTTCTCTAGCAAATTGGGGTCTCAACATTGCTCTAGAATGTTTCCATCCTTCACCATCAAGAGTGAAAATTCCATCTCCTAATAATGGTAAGAACTGAGCATGTCTGATTCCCAAACAAAAATCATTAAATTGAGTAGCTAAAACTGCTTTAATATTTTCGGGATCTCTAGTAGTAATAAATTTTCTACCAGCAACATAGGTTAAAAAAGTATCAGCTTGAAATTCAATAAATCGTTCATTATTATAATCAACCATTTTACCTTCACTTTTCAATTTCATCACTTCTCGCATTAATTTAAATCCATAAAACCCATCGGACTTGACAACTCTAATTGGTTTACATCCAAGTTTTTTAGCCTTTTGATGTTGGCTAATCCTCATAAGTACACTATATAAAACATAAAGACCAATAAGAGCACCATACCAGGTTTGTAAGTACCCAAGTACTTTTTCCTTCACTATATCAACTTGAACCATTGTTTAACTGTGATAAAAGATCGTACTATCTTAAGGTTTCGAGAAATATTGTCTACTTATATAATAGAAATAAGAATTAAGAAAATATAAAATCAAATGAATGGAGGGGTTTTGTCAGCTTACTTCGATAAGTCTTTATTTTGCTGGAACCTCCATGTGCAGAATGTGACAAACGGGAATACGCATCCATCGGACGCACAGTTGAGTTAAACATGTTAATGACAAGAATAGATTACAAGAACAACTTCCAAAATCCATTTACAAGCATAACTCTAAAATCATATGCCTTACCCCAGCGTATCTGAACGGCAGATTTTTTTGTCAGATACAGATTTCGGTTGTATATCTCGGGAACATAGCCTATCAGGTGAAGTGAAGATGAAAATGGTAGCCAGCAGAGGGGGGAGAAAAGAAACAGGCCAAAAAAAAAAAAAAAAAAAAAAAAACCAAAAGAAAACTACTTCTTACAACTCCAATTTCAGAAGATTAAGCCCGACTGCCAGTCACAGACAATAATAAATGAGTGCGGGTAGCGAGAGCTGGGGGAAAATTTTCCGTCTGATTGTTTTTTCAATTGTTATCGTTTAATCGGGGAGTATATTGAACTTGTTTGATCCTAATTAGTTCAAACGGACAGAAAACGTTTAATTATTATCACCAATAAGGAAGAGAAGCTGGCGAGCTCTTAGCTTTTTGGATAAAACAATGCAACCCTTATATAAAAATTTTACATTATAATCTTTTTTTCAAGTATTCGCAACAATAGGGGTCCTCGCTCACATACCAAGCCATAGCTTAATTGAGAAATTAAGAAGTCCCAAAATGTATATGTATAAAAGATAATCTAGTAAGATCGTAACTGTTTAATTTTGATACTTGATGGTGATGAGACTGGTTAATAAGATTCATAGTCAACTCACAGTCGTCAAGGTCGACTCATAGTCAGGGACTAGTCACCGAGAGTCATCGTAACATAGCCAACACCAATCTTTTGTGCCATCATCTTACATATCTTTACATTAAAACATTACATGTAGTTTATACGGTAAATATTTTATTTTGAATAAATATGAAAACGAATTAAAACAAACTATACAGTAGGACCGGCAGCTTTAACTTCAGAAGTAGCTTGGTCAGAGTATTTTTGGAAATTTTCAACAAACTTACTGGCTAAAGAAGTAGTTTCTTTAACAAAAGAAGCTTCACCTTCAGACCAGGCTTTAGTTGGATTTAAAATTTCACTTGGAACACCAGGACAACTGGTTGGAATATTCAAGTTAAAAGTTGGGAAAGTATCGTATTGAACCTTACTCAATTCCCCAGAATGAATTGCATTCAAAATAGCACGAGTGTATTTAAGAGAACAACGTTTACCACCTCTAGCAGCACTTGCACCAACCCAACCAGTGTTCAATAACCAAGCATTGGCATTGTATTTAGAAATTTTATCAGAAAGTTGTTGAGCATACTTCATTGGATGTAAAACCAAAAATGGTTGACCAAAACAAGCAGAGAAAGTAGCTTGGGGTTCAGTTACACCTTCTTCAGTACCAGCCATTTTAGAAGTATAACCAGAGATAAAATGATACATCACTTGGGCATTAGTCAATTTAGAAACTGGTGGTAAAACACCAGAAGCATCACAAGTTAAAAGAATAATGTTGGTTGGGTGAGTATCAGCAAGACATGGAATCTTAGCAGATGGAATAAAATCAATTGGGTAAGCACATCTGGTATTTTCAGTAATGCTTGAATCATTATAATTGACAACTTTACTCAATGGGTCATAAACAACATTTTCCAAAATTGAACCGAATTTAATAGAATTAAAAATTTCTGGTTCTTTTTCAGCAGATAAATCAAGACATTTAGCATAACATCCACCTTCAATATTGAAAACACCATGGTCGGACCAACAGTGTTCATCATCACCAATCAATTTACGATTTGGATCTGCAGATAAAGTGGTTTTACCAGTACCTGATAAACCAAAGAATAAAGTGACATCACCCTTATCAGTACCTTGATTAGCGGAAGAATGAAGAGTTAAAACTTGATATTTAATTGGCATTAAATAAAACATAACGGTGAAAATACCCTTCTTCATTTCACCAGCATATTCAGTACCAAGAATAACCATTTCCATATCTTTGAAATTAATTTCAACCGAAGTTGATGAAGTCATACCTTTAGTATGAACATTAGCAGGGAATTGACCAGCGTTGTAAATAGTAAAATCTGGTTCACCAAAATTAGCCAATTCTTCTTCAGATGGACGAATCAACATATTGGTCATAAATAATGCATGATAGGCTCTAGCACAAATAATACGAACCTTAATTCTATAACGAGGATCCCAACCAGCATAAGCATCAACAACAAATAATTTTTCTCTAGTTCTCAAGTAATCTAATGCTCTTGATCTAGAAATTTTCCAAGTTAATTCATCAACTTGTTTATTAACTGGCCCCCACCAGATATTATGAGTAGAAGTAGATTCGTCAACAATTCTTTTATCTTTTGGAGAACGACCAGTTTTTTTACCAGAATAAGCCATAAGAGCACCAGTTGATGAAATAGTAGTACCACGTTCTAATAATCCATCTTCGTATAAAGTTGGGGCTGGAGCATTATGACGAATAACAGTTTCATCACCAAGTGATAATTGTTTAACTAATGGATCTTGAGTAGATTTAATTGAAGGATGACCTTCAAAATTAATTGAAGATTCAATAGCAGTTGGAGGAGTCATTTTTGATGATCTTTTTTCTTTTTAATTTGAATGAATAATGATTCTATGGTTTATTTCTGGCTGAATTAGAGGGAAATCATTCCATTTATATATAAATTTCATTGCTAACTTATTGCCCTAGAACCAGTTCTATAAAGTGATCCCGGAGAAAGGGAACAGCTTCAGTGTCTAACAAAATCATTAACAGCAAAATAAAAAGCCTTAAACAATTAAAAATAACACTAGCAATAGTTAACAGCACAAGATACTTTTAGTGTAATAGTCTGAAATATGGGGTAAAACCACCGGAAAACATCGGGGACTTACATCCCGCAATGCTCCATTCCCCAGAATTTGCTGAAGAACGTGTCACGTGATGGGGGTTCGGCGGTTCTTGCTTGCCCGGGTCAAGGGATGGGTGCTGGCAGTCCAAGGACCAAGGGAACTTGCCCTTTTGGGAAGGTGCCTCCCGGGGCAATCTTTAAGTATGACGTATAACTGTATTACTTACCATTACTTACTATTACTTACTATTACTTACTATTACTTAACTTTAACTACTGAAGAAGTAACTGTATGGGTATATTGTTGAATAGATCACTGTATTGCTGAATGTTAAACAGTAATTGAGATTGTAGAACGATCAACCTTTTTGATTGAATATTGAATTGTCTGATGATTGTTTATCGTAGTATTCGTTATGCCATTTCCATTCACTAAAGCCAATTTCTTTTATACCAGTCATCGACTTATCTTGATCAACCCTAAAGATCAAGCACTCGTTCATTACCCCATTATTTGTATCTTCACCAAAATTGCTTTTGAAAAAAGTAATCCCACTACAAATTAATCCGAATTTGAAGATTTCGGTTAAATTGGAGTAAGACGGATCAATCATTGGCTCAACCATTCCACCAACTATTCTTTTGGATTCCTGTATAATGGATTCATCGATGGCTTCATCGATATAGGGATAGAATTTGGCAAACGCCAGCTGATTTGTAAATAATATTATACTACCAATAATATTTTGATTAGTGGGCTCTAAAGCAATAATAATTTTAACTTCATAGGAAGTAGTTCCTTGTAAATATTTAACCGCTTCCATATATAACTGTTTTGTCATTGCCGTTTTTTCATCGTCGCCTTCCTCTTTTGTACATCGTTCAATTAACTCCATTAATTTTTCTGGTTGGTTGCAAATATCAAATCTAACCCCAACAATCATTAATTCTCTGAATATTTTTTGTGGTACCGACCAGTTCATTAAATCTTTTAATATCAAGACATTTTTCCTCTTGTCTTCCTTTATTTCCCATCCAACACTATTCATAAATAATGTAGATACCTTATTGTTCTTAATTAAGTGGCTATTCTCCGGGAATACTATATTGGGTACTGAACACCCCAACGTCACTAGATCACATTCTTGTTCTTTAATTAAATATCTCATGGCTCTTGCGTGTAAATTCTTACCAATACTCTGCAATCTTTTCAGCTTATCAACCAATAAATACATTATTGATCCGGTTTTCGGGGTTGGGGTCTCTTCAATATATTCATTTAAGGATACTTGTTGGTACTCATTAACCCAGGTGAGTACTATTCCATATAATAAATTTAAACTTGAATTTCTAACAACAAAATGTTTCTGTTTATTATTAGCATTTGATAATAATATCAATAATTTCTTATAAAAATTCTCCCGTTGATAATCAATCTTGATTTCTTCTTCTCCATTTATATCTTCATCTCCTAAATTATTCTTCCATAACTTAATTAAACTACTCCAATCTCTTTTAATATTAAACTCATCAACCAACCATCTTCTCTTTGGTTGTGGATTGCTTTTCCTTCTCACTATTGGCGATGATTGTATTGTCGGTTGACTAGGTGGTTTCCTTTTCTTTATTCGACTACTGAATTTCTTCTCTCCCGGTATACATCCTTCTGCTCCTGAATCTCCCATTAATATTCCAACTAATTCTTCAAGTGCTCTATTCGTATAATCATAACTGCATAAATATGCACTCCCAATACTCTTATTGTAAAAAAAATCGTATGGTGATGATGTTGCAACAATTACTAATGGTTTTACCAATTGACCAGAGTTGATACCTCCATTATTAAAACTTGACGGACTTGCTCCACATAATATCGACACATATTTAACTATCCCAATCTGATACATATTTCTCAGGGCCTCCGATGTTAAAACGATAACTACTTTGGAGTTTTCAATTAATGTTTCATGTAATGCTGTTAATCCGTTGGCAGTGTAGGTAGTATGGAGAACATTAAATGATTTATCTAAAACTGAAGGGTGTTCTGATAATAATCGCCCAAATTTTTGGAAAACTTCCTCACCAGTGAATAATGAAGGTTTTGAGTCATTCGAACTTTCATTATCGCTATTTTCTTCAGACTCTTCACTTTCCTGGGTCTTCTCTTTCGTCTTCAGATCTGAGGTTGGATAAATAGGATTTAATAATGGTGATAATATAAGTAAATTATCTTTATCATCTTTCTCTTTCTCTTTGGATTCTTTGAAGAATTTGCTTATTGGTAATGTCCCTGTATAATCACGTACAAGAGTTATTGATTTACGATAAGCTAGTTTCAGTAATTCCTGATGTTCTTTCCATAAATCGGGATATTTAATTGGGAAAACTTCAATCTTTTCCTTACCTTCATTTAATATCTCTGCCCAACTAGGTAACTGTTTTTGTATTTTTTCAATACGATTTAAACAAGTTACTATAATTTCTTCGTCTAAATTACCATTTTCTAAAGCTATTTCCATTGATTTAACTGCTTCATTTTGTAACGCCAAGTTATGACATACCATAACTAAATCACAACCAGCATATATAGCCAAAATTACACCTTGACCTAAACCGATTGAATGGTAAAGAGCGTCCATTTCTAAACATTCACTAATTACAAAACCTTCAAAACCAAGTTCTTGTCTTAAATATTGGTTAATAAGTATTGGTGACAAACATGCATGGGTTTCATCTGGACTTATACTGGGTACCCCACATCCTGCTACACTTATTCCGTCAACCAAATCATCTTTAATTAATTCAGCAAATGGTACACTATTGAAACTCTTTATTTGCTCAAGAGAATCAGCCATCATTGGTAGCTCTAATAATGAATCAACACTTGCATTTCCAATACCAGGAAAATGTTTCCCTACTGTTAAAAGTCCCCCATCTTTTAAACCTTTTGCGCATGCTTTACCATATTTAGTGACTTCCTCTATGGTAGTACCAAAACTTCTAACACCAACAAGCTGATGAGATAGCTTCGTAATCACATCAAGAACTGGACCTAATATCACTGAAAACCCAATATGTTTCAATTCGATTGCGATAGCTTTCAGAACTTTATAAACCAACTCAGCATCCCCAGTTGCAGCTAATGCCATTGCCCCAGGGAATTGAGTTAAATTAATTTCATCAAATAACGAATTCATCATCCCACCTTCTTCATCCACAGCAAAGATCAATGGATATTTATAATTAGCTTGAGTTCGAGCAATATGTTGCAAATCTTTTATGAGTTTAGATATTTGCTCAACTGAAACAGTATTCTTCTTCAGTAGTATCATAGTAGATACATGAAGCTCAGTTATTAAATGATAAGCTTGAGGAGTTACAGTCTTCCCTTCAAACCCTCCACAGAGTAGCTGACCTACATAAAGGTCATCGTCAGCATTCATCTTTATTTCTTCTGTTTATTTCTTTTGTTTATGTCTTCGGTTTATAATTTAACTAATTTTATTGCACCCTTTGAGAAGTAAGGGTACATTTATCCTGAACGAATGGTTCTATGTCTCGCCTTTTGGTTGTTTTCACTCAACCTCAAGAAACTCAAGCTACTTCAAAGCCTTTCCAATGTTTGGATAAACAACAAAGTTGGAAAATGCAGGTTTTCGATGCTTCGACTACTCTTTTGAAAAATCTCGAAGAGGTTCCGTTCAAGTCATGTTACATTTTTTCTAAATTCCTCACTTTTTTCAAAAAAATTTCAAAATTCCCTATGTTTGGCCATTGATCGTAACAGAATTTCTACATTGGCCGGTATTCACTGATATATAGGCTCTAGATACTAATGGTCGGACTATATCTACTTGTAGTCGGGCCTCCCTATTGTAAAATGGTTCCGGTGTAGTGATGGTGAAGCTGTATTTGTGCCGCAATTCCTCAGTAATTGATTCTAATTCCTCAGTCTTTGATCTCCATACTAGAACTTGATTCAGTTGCAATTAAACTAGCTACTTGTTAATTGTCTGCCAGGTAAGCCCCATAGCATAACTACTTCAAATATGAATAGAGAAACAATTGGTTCCATTAAAAAACCGGACGCAAATGAAAAAAAAAAAAAAGTACAGAAAAAATCGTTACGCCAATATAAATGAATATAAGGCAGAAACATAGTTATGGCCATTGAAGGATTATGGAACATTCTTAAAGATGCTTTCGGTGAAAGGGTTTCCATGCCAGTGCTTGTGTCTCAGTTTATCGAGGTCCATAAAAGAACTCCACGATTGGCAATTGATGCCTACGATATGATATTCTCTAGTTCTCAATCTGGTGATATAGAGAGTTATGAATCATATAACCATATTTTAAGGAATTTTATGGCGAAATTAATGTACCTTACTTCGCTTAATGTGAGTTATATCGTTGTCTTTGACGGCTGTTTGAAACCCCAAAAATTAAGGAATAATCCAGCTGAGTCCTTCAACGGTCTAGAAGGAAGATTTTCAGAGCAATATCATAAGGAATGGGAAGAGTTTTCCAAGATGGATCGTAAGGATTACTCCGAGGGAAGTGATTTGATTGATATCATAAAACTTAAGCTTCAATCCCACAAAATTGATTATATTCAATCCCCAGGAGAAGCAGAGGCAGAATGTTCTATTTTACAACGAACTGGCATTGTCGACTACGTAATATCTGATGATGGAGACTGTTTTGTATTTGGAACAACGAAATTACTCAGAAATTTCAGGAAATCAATCGATGATTATCTGGAAGCTATGGCAAAAGAGTATTACGTTACTCCAATTACATTAGATGATATTAAAGCGAAGTTTGGACTTGACACCCATAGACTTGTTCTTATTGCTGCAATAGGAACTGGCGATTATTCAAAGGGTGTTGCTCAGGTTGGGAGTAAACGAGCTATGAAGATAGCTCAATGTGGAACTCCATTTGCAGAATATCATACGGGGTCTCCTTCGAAGATTGAATTGAAAGAAAGAAAAAGGCAAAATAAACATGATCAAGGTCCGCTACCGGATTTTACAAAACTATTTATCAAATGTTTTTATAAACAAACCGATGGTGGGAAAGTTTTCGATATATGGAGCAATATCAGATCATTTGAAGAGCGAAGACTCGCTTTGATTAGTTTCAATAGTCTATTGAACTCATACATTAAGACAAGATCAAGAGAAATATTTGGCAGGAAGTTTGAAACCAAGGAGACATTGTTTATAATTGATTATTTTGCTATGGTTTATCTATTTCCTCTTGTTTCTCCCAGTCTTTACAAATTTTTACCCGGCTCACTAAGTTTTGGGGAATGTCTGGCAATATCAAATGATATACAAGTACCCTACGATAATACAATTTTACTTACACAAGAGAGTGTCCCAAGAATGAATTCAGTTTACGAAGTACCCGAGCGTGATATTGGTATACTGGAATTACAATTCATGAATAGTTCGGACCCAGAAAGTAAGCTAAAAGTTATTTTCAACAACTTCAATTCTTATTCAGATGACCACCTGCTAGACACAGACCAGCTCGGCTTACCGGACACCTTTGATTATAATGTTAAAAATATCATTGTTAAGCTTCTCAGTAATCTTAAAGTTAGGACCGATCTAAAAGAATTCGTATCGATCACCCGTATGAAATCGGAAAATGGCATTCAGCTTTTAATGGTGAAATACCCGAAATTCTTGAAAGAAAAAGTATACCCTAAATCTATCAATGAAGATGAACCCCAAAAGTCCCCAGAATCAAAGGACCTGATGGAATATACTTGGTTACCATTAAATTTGATTTATTTAGTAAATAAAGAAATTGTTGAAAAGTTCATTGATAACTCTTCAGCAGAAACTTCACTTCGAAAGAAAAATGTTCCTCGACAAAAACAGACATTGGATTCCTTTGGGAAATTTCCTGCTTCTCCAACAAAAAGATCAAATAAGAGTATATCGAGCTCAATTAACTTGTTTTCTAGCTCACCTCTGAAACTAAACTTGCAGGCCTCTCCATCTAAAAGATCACTTCCCAACTCTCCTACTAGAAACAGAAAAAGGAACTCGTTAACCTTGGATCCAAACCAGAAACCAGTCACATCCTATTTCACTGATGCAAATCCATTTATTGATAAGCACGATCTAGAAAGAAACAATCCATTGTTCCTCTCCTTATCAGATTCTGATACAGATGAAGATACATACCAGGGCCGGAAGAGAAGTACCCGGCGCCTTATGACAGATCGAAGAGTGTTAAATAGACCACCACCTCTTTTGCAACACAACAGCTCCCTAGAGCCACCTTCTCCATCCAAAAAATCACCATCGAAAAGGAGAACCACAGACCTTTCTAAAAGCTTTCATGGAAGCCCTTCTAAGAAAAGCCGAACACATCCTTATCTGAGCTCCCCAGATCTCAAACTATCAATGCAAAAATCAAGCCCAAAGTCCCATAAATCGAATACTTCGGCCAAAGATGAAATAATCGAAATATCAGATACAACACTAGACAAATCTGATTTAGATACAAATAACGAACCTTCCATCCAAGAAATACTGCAAGACCATTATGTAGAATCAAAAGCAGAACCAACGGCTAAAGCTGACAATAAAGTTGGAACCGATATTCTTGATAAACTAATGGACATTTCAGAAACCTCTTTTTCAGACTAATAATATCTCACGACTAACGAACACTATTTATTCATAATTCTCTCTTTGGCTCAACTGAATAATATAACCTCTTGTACTCAAACTTCAATAGAATTGGTTATACTTGCGTTGGCTGTAAAATCTGTAAAAAATAGAACGATTTTTTTCCCTTGCACATCAGTTAATCGACTTGAATCTACAAACAAATCAAACAGAAAAAACAAGATCAACTTGCTGGTTTGCTAGTTTACTAAAGAAAGTGAAGTTATACCTTGAGTCAAAATGGCTGAGCAAAACCAATGGACCGAGCCCAGTAAGAAGATTTTTGACGGGTCAGATATTGCTCGATTCCAAAGATCTCTTGCTAAAAAGAAGATCCACCATACTTTGGCAGCAGTGATTGAGAAAGTCAAAGGATGTGAAGTTCCAAAAGACGTATTGTCTCTGAATATCGTGACAAAGGAGAAGGCTAATATTCCACCACCCATGAGAAAGATGGAACCGCTGCTCAATTTACCACCTCCTTCTCAAAATCAGGAAGAAAAGGCTGAAATCGAAAAGTTGAATGATCAGCCAGTCTTGGATAACTACCAAGGGATTTTGAAAATTCTACAAACTCTAAACACTTACATCGATCAGAATCCACCTTTAAAAGGTCCAAGGAGATTCGGAAACTTGGCTTGCAGAGATTGGCATGATAACTTAATTGAAAACATCGACAACTTGCTTATATCTAATTTGAAGATCGATTCTAAACTAAGAATTGACGGATTCTTGAGCGAAATAAAACACTACATTTTAAACTCATTCGGCTCTCAGTTAAGGCTCGACTATGGAACTGGTCATGAACTATCATTTTTAGCCTTTTTAGGTGGTTTATTTGAGTTGAAAATTCTTGATATTAAGAAACTTAGCGGTGCCGAATTGTTAACAATTTTTGGAAAATATTATGATTTATGTCGCAGATTAATTCTCCTTTATAGTTTGGAGCCGGCTGGATCTCATGGAGTGTGGGGTTTAGATGATCATTTCCATTTGATATATATCTTGGGTGCTGCTCAATTCAATGGCTCACAAAATATGATGATTCCTTCGGTTCTGCTGGTGTTATCAGACCATACTATTTCATCTTACAAACTATGTAACCTCTATGTTAATGCAATTGCATTCATTCATAAAATCAAACTGGGTCCTTTTAATGAACACTCTCCTATAATTTTTGATATACATGCCACTGTTAGTTTATGGCCTAAAGTGTTGCAAGGGCTCTCCAAAATGTATGAAGTTGAAGTTTTGGGTAAGTTCCCCGTGGTTCAGCATTTTTGGTTCGGTGCCGTTTTATATCCTTGGAGAGATTTTGAAACTGATCAAGAATTACCTGTATTCCAAAAGGAAGAAAAGGAGAAAAATGAGGAAGAGTTCGGTTTCTTGAACAATAATCAAGGTATAAAAACGACTAGATCGAACTTATCGATGACCGGGGCCCCATGGGCCTCACTGAATACCTCCAGACCTACTCCTAAGGCACACACTTCAAGGCCAGTACCTAATACAAGATTTAACGCTCCCAGAGGTACTTCTAGGCCAGGCGCCACTAATCGACCTTGAGCTTACGATATCTAACGAATTAAAATTAACGACTAATAGTTAATGAATGCATTAAAGTTGAATGTATTTATATTTACATAAATATACTGTAGGATATTAATTGTTTCTTTGTACTTAACTTCTTGAAACTCTGAAGTTGAAAGGAGAACGGCACAATGGGCAACTACTTGCACCAGAGCTTTTGAACCATTTATAAAGACATGCTGCATGAAACTTGTTCAGACAAGTTGGACAAGTCTTTGATGGTAATGAATGATCTTGGTGAAGAATGGAATAGCAAATTGCGCAATCTTCAAATCCAGAAAAGTGTAAATCAACGTTTTTATTGAACAATTCAATCGCATCAATAATCGAACCGTTCGTCAAGGATATGATTTTCTGAGATGCTAATAACCATGCCTTCCACTGGTTTTCTTTCACACCCAAGCGTAAAGGTCCTTCAACGGTGACACTTGCCAAAGGATATGATGGTGGAATTTTGATTATCATCTCCATCGTCTGTTCGTCGATGACATATATTGACTTGATTTCATTTGAAACAGTATTAACTTTGATTGTCATATTATCTTTGTTTCCAATTAATTTCTCTTTGGAATTAGAAATTTGTTCTAAGATTTTGCTAATAATCAAAGGTGAAGTGAAGTTAACCGAAAATTTCTCTATCTTTTGTTTCAAAGAGCGATCTCTTATAGAGTTAAACCATGACTGAACATATGAACCAAGATATTGGAAGGATAAATAGTATAAGTGGATAAGTAAGAATCTCATTTCGACTAAAGCATCCTCCCCTGGATATCCTTCAGAAACAGCATATTCTTGAATGAGGTTATCAGAGATTTCAATTTTAGCATTACTCTTAACAATCCTTGATTTGGTGAAAGATTTTAATGTTTGTGTATTTGAGACATCAGCTTCTCTGAATATTATGTCAAATAGTTTATCAATGACATTAAATTGTTTTAATTGATTTAAATATTCCGTTCTAATCGAATAAGTAACATCTTTAAAATGAGAAAACACCAAGAGCCAACTAAACAAATACTTGAAGCCTTTCTCTGGGACATCGTCAACAAAAAAATCTTCTATATCGGCATCTTCTATTTGAAGGCTCTCACATAAAGGTTGAGGAAGAAGTGCTTTGACATTATCGTCTTCATCAGACTCAGACTTGCCCAAATTTGATTTTCTAAGTTGATATTCAACAACGAAATCTTGCTGACTTTCTAAAATCAACTTTTCTAAATAATGGGTACCTATCCTTTGTAAAGAGACGTACTTAGCGTTAAACAAAAGAGAGTAAAATTGGTCTTTTTTCTCTTTAATAGTTGATAAAGATATAGGCTCTTTGATAAGTAATCGATTCAAAAGTTCATTACTCAAAAGAACAGGCATATTGTTGAGCTTATGATCAGCTGAAACCAATTCTTCATTAGTAGCCAATTCAAGGAGTTCTTCCACAATAGAGGACTTGGACTCCTTCCAAAGCGAGGAATCTTCAATTTTATAGAACGATTTATCCAAACTCATGTATAATTTGAAAGTTGCATGCCTCAAGTCAATATGAGCATATTCAACTTGGGCAGTGCTTATATTATCTTGACATAGGTTGATAGCCAATTCCCAAAACTTATCTGGAAGCAAAGATGAATTTAATTTAAGCAAGCCGGTAAATAATCTCGAAATTTGCGTTCTCATTACAATAAATGATTCATCATAAGCAATATCGCTTTCCAACCATTTAGAAATTTGATTAATAACCATGGCCAATCTGTGCTGAGGAATGAACTCATATTTTTCCCCGTCTTCAAGGTCGACATTCAAAAAATTGATACTTAAGGTAAGCCATTTTAATCCTTGGGTAAGAATATGTTCTTCGGATCTGACTCCTAACATTTCAGCAGCAACAAAGTTTCTTATCCTATCAAATTTTGTAGATTCAGTAGTAAATTTGGAAAAAGCAACGAGGACCGCAGCACATTTTAAAGGATATGAAACTAATTTATTCAAATCGATATTGAGGGATTCAAAATTTGAAAGAGACATATTGTTCGAGAATTTGTCTAAAATTGATCTTAAAAGTCTGCAATTATAAAAGTGTTCCTTTGTATAACCATCCTTGACGTTAATTTGTTCAGCTAAATTAGATAACATACTAGATTGTAAACTAGACTGATCATTAAAAGCAGGTCCATTAACGAATCCACTCAAGGTTGATGGTTCTATGCTGTCGAAGAAACTTAAAAATTTTTGATTCAATAAATGAGAAACAGATATAAGCTCATTTTCAGAGGATGTTTTTTGATCTAAAAAGTTCAAGTCGGTCAAATACTCACTAACGAGACCAGAAACAATGATGATGCTAGCTTTTTCATCGCTGAACTCTATAGATTCTTGGATGTCCAAAAAAGTACGAAGAAATTTACCAATTGGTAGGAGCGAACGATCGAGCCTTAATGTGCAATCTGCATCAGAAATTAAGTGAATATTCTGGTATAATGGATTTGCAATGGATAACAAGTTAATATCAATACCTTCAATGGCTTTTAAAAGGCAATATTTTATTTTTTCTAATGGGAAAATATGAAAGTTTCTGCTCAAATAAATAGCGGTATTCGTAAAATCTGCATCTGTTTCTGAATCATGAATATATTCAAAGAGCGATTCCACGAGAAGGTGTAAAGTACCCGGGGCTTGTGCCAATTCTGCGAATTTTTGGTAATCTGAATCTTCAATCCTTGGCCAAATAGTAGAAAAGATAAGTTTAAGAGATGTCTGAGTTTGAATATCAGCTTCGTCTATAGAGATTGAACCTGAATCTCTCACAAAATGTCTTATAAAACCTGGAGCATTTCCAAGATCATTAGAAACACTTTGAACCAAATTTTTAAAAATAAGATTATTTTTGGTGAACTTATAAATGAGTTTAGATTCTTGATCAGTGAGTTGTGGTTTTTTGGACAAGTTCTGTGCATAAACGAAAATAGGATCATTGTCTTTGAAATTCAATTTCTTCTTTTCTTCTAACATGATGACAAAGTTTGCTAAATGATCTTTATTTTCAGAGGAGATCTTTGTGAAAAAGTCATCAATTAAAACTTCAGTATCCAAATTATCAAACCCTGTTCGATCAATGACAGAAGAAAATAACTCAACAGGTAAAGATGTAAACTCCGGATTGATGAAGCTGGGAAGCTGTTCTATAAATTCTAATAAATGTTCTCTCAAATCATCATTGGGCTTGAAGTTTTTGTCTATATAGAGCTTTAAAATTTCAAAAGCAAGCACGGGTTTAATCAAAGCACTATTTTCTTGTAAACCATCTATAATTTTTTCAACTATATTAATTGCAAACTGACTACCTTTAGTTCCACTAAAAGACGCGAGAATATCTAAGTAAACTGATGCAATGTTATATGTAGAGCTTGCGAATTCAAAATCATTGATTTTGAGGAATTTTTCCAGCTCTGAAGTAGAAACATCAACAATACTTTCATTGAAGCCCTCTAATAAAGGTAAAAATTGAGCATTATTTGATAAAAATTGTGAAAAAGATGAAATAGATTCTTTCTTGAATCTCTTGTCAGATTCCCTGAGAGCTCTTGAACTCAACATGTCGAGAATATTTTCGAAAAGACTAATATTCACCTTCGACAATGTTTCTTTGTTTTCAGTCTTCTCGTAAAATATTTTATAGATATGAACCGAAGCCGAAATTGCTTGAAATTTATATTCAAAGCTTGTCAAACTTTTGAATTGAGAAATCAAAATTTTGAAAATAGATCCGGCATCTTTTTTATTACCGAAGTCCAAAAATTCATAATCATCACTTGATTTGATTTGAGAATCAGCAAGAGCGGTAAAGAATGCTTTTAATACCGCATAATAAATAGGACTCAGTTGGCAATGACCTAACTTGAGATAATCAGTTAATCTAGAAAAGCTTTTACTACCTCCAATTTCCCAGAAATTTTTCTTGATTTTGATTGACTTAGATTCTGATTTTAATTGAGCAAATAAGGTTAAAACTGTTAAAGTGTCCCAAAACTGCAAAATCACGTTTGAGAAGATTATTCCACCGGTTGAAGATTTGTTTGAAGGTTTTAATTTAACATGTTTTATGAATTTCTTTGATACTGTCTTGTAGACTGATTTTACATCATCCAAGCTTTTCAAAAACCCGTTTGCTTCTTTTTCAGGAGTCAATTTGAACAAGGCCTTTAGTAAAACTAAATAGTTATTGAACAATGTCAAATTGGAAACATCTGGCTCGACGGATTTTCCTAAATAGTCCCATAAGTTGTCCAGGTTTAAAAGAGATTCAGCTCGAACAGTTAGATCATCAACATTTTTGAACTTACTTGGGTCCGTATTAAACAATTGTATAAGTTTTATGAGCATCATAATTGCACTATTGAGAACTCTCTCGTATTTTGAATTGGAATCAGCTTCTTTTACATATCTTTTATCAGACAAGGACTCATGGGTTTCGGACAAGACAATCGTAGAAATATAGTTAAGAATTGGATCAGTGAAAATAAACCAAATTGCGTTATTGACCTTGTCCAGATCATTTTGAAAAGCCTCGAGCAAAGTTTTCATTGTAGAGTTTGAAACTGTCTTATCATTATCAAATAACCCTGCAACCCATATGGGTAAAGAGCTTTTAAGATATTTACTGAAGTTTTTCCCACCGATTACATTCAAAAGTTGACCCTGGATTTGATGAGATAGAACTCTGACGTTTCTCGAATTATCAATGGATAATTTAGGATATAATTGGATCCATGAAATCACTAGTAATTCATCTTCTTGGACTGAGCTAGGTTCATTTGATATCAAATTAAGTAATTCTATCATTGACTTTTCTTTTGTAATGGAATCTTTCTTTAATAAAGATTTAAAGATGATTGCCATCTTTGCATCTTTAATTACCATTAGATCAGGAACTGCAGTGAAATAGTTGATGGAAACCGGGAACCCATTATAACCCAAGTCCCCGTTATTGGACGAAGCTGAAAAGTAGCTATCGTTCGACATAATTCCTGCTATACTGAAATAATTAGAAAAAGTGAAGTAAAATGGCAAATTAATGCTCAGACTGAAAAATTCTCTTTTCATTTGACACTGATTTTCCGTGCGACAATTGCGCAAAAGTAGTAAATTTTTCCTACAGAATGAATAATTGTACTGCAAACACTGCTAGCGTATTCCAATTAATAAACATCAGGACATGATTCACTACATTCTTACCGTATATAGAATATGCAGTTGTTTGAGATTATGCAAAATAAATAAGGATGTAACTTTCGGTGACTCACTTGGAGAAACGGTTGTAAAAATTTTTTACTTCGTCAGAGGTTGCAATTTTTTTAGGATCAAAGTTAAAAATTTCCAAAGAATCCTTATTTGTAGCTCTTGAAAGGGCAACGTAAACTTGACCTTTTTCAAAAGTTCTTCTTAAGTTAACTCTCAAACGTTCTATCGATTGACCTTGGGCCTTATGAATAGACATCGCCCAAGAGAGAATAAGAGGGAATTGAGTTCTAGTAAGTCGATCAACTTTTTCTGAACCATTAAATACTGGACCATCGATGTAAAATTCTTCTTGAGTGATTCGGATAATTTTGAAGGAACCATCAGTAGTTTTAAAATTAACTATAGGACAAATAGAAGCCAAAGTCTCACGTAGAGCAATCATAAGTAGTCTTTTAAACACCGATTTTCTAGAAATATGAACTTGCTCAATTACATTAAGGATTTCAGCATCAGTAGGGGTAGTTCCAATACAATTTGCTAAAAGTTTCAATTCTTGAATGATGGAAGGGGAAGCATCAAGAAGAGAAATACCACGATAATCGTTTAAAACTTCTTTCCAGAGAAATTCTGTCATGAAGCAAATGACTGTACCAATAGAACCATTAACAATTGGTTCATCGGGATGATTTTTCAAATACATTACTTGACAATCTTCTTTTAATTCCAACATCTGTTGACACATTAAACTATCATATTGTTTAGTATATCTTGGATCTGAAATATTATCGATAGCTTTAAAAACATGAAGTTTACCTTTTAAATTTTTCAATCTTGTATTATTAGCAAGATTCACTTCATTTCTCGTGGGATATAGTTCGGTTGGTTCAATGCCATCATGGTACTCAACTTTTCTACTCAACGAACGGAATTGATTGATCATTGAATCATCTAATTCAGCATAACGTAAACCATTTAACATATTAATTAATTGAGCATCACCTTTTTGACGGAAAACTTTCTTTAAGACAATAATTTTTGAAATTGTACGAGACCAAGCCGAAGATTGGAAACAATACATGGCTTGAGATTCTTTACTAACTGGAGGCAATTGGAAAAAATCCCCAGTAAGAACCAATTGAATACCACCAAAGGGTCTTTCACTTGAACGGATTAAACGAGCCAAACCTTCTAGTTTTTCAAATAAACGGCCATCAATCATTGAAATTTCATCAATGATAAGAACTTTTAAGGATTTCCATTTATAACTTAAAAGACGATCTTTCTTAATTTTATCTCTTAATCTAAGAATATCCTGTTGACCAATACCAATACCTAAAAATTTATGAACGGTTTGACCTTCAATATTACAGGCAGCCAACCCAGTGGAAGCAGTAACCCCAACGGCAAAACTACCATATTTTTTCTTCAAACCTTTCACTAATTCCCGTAAAACAACCGATTTACCAGTACCAGCACTACCAGTAAAGAAGATATTTTGAGCTTGATCAATTGCAATTTTGAGAACTTCTTCTTGTTCTGGCGATAAAGTTATTGAAGTGTTTTTTGAATTATCATTCCAGCGGGATAATTTCTTCTTGGGCGGACCACTGGTTATGCTTTGCAGAAATTGTGAAGATGATGCTCTTTTAAGAGCAACTCGTTTGGTTGGGCTAGATAAAGGTTCATTATTTTCTTTATCGTCCTTATCATCGAGTGGAATTGCGGTTTGGGCACTTTCTCCCAACGGGCTTTTCTTACTCCGGCTTAGTCCCAGGAACGATCTTGATAGTAAGGGATTAGAAAAATTGTTGATTTCTGGAGAATCAACTGAAGTATCTGGTTCAGAACTGGCAAATTCATCAAAGGCAGACCGAGAAGACGCGACCGCTTTGCGGATGGAGCTCGATGGGGTCATACTCCCACCAGTACTTCCAGTACTTCCAGTACTCCCAGTACTCCCAGTACTGGCACAAGTGCCAGTACTGGTCCTAGCAACACCACCACCACCAGCATCATTCCTGGGTTTACGTGGATTACTGAAGAAACTGGATATAGAGGCCTGCTTCATCGAACGCGTGCTCTCCCCGAACGAGGTCGACTTGGTGGCACGCGCAGCCCCAGGAACCACCGGCTTGTAAGGTCTTGACATCAAAAGTATATGTATATATATGTATATATATATAAATATATATGGATATAATATGCAAAGATATATAATATGTAAAGATATATAATATGTAATATATATAAATGTGATGGGCTGAAATATATTCCGTCCCAAGTCGTGCCACCGGTCGCGCCAAAAGTCTTCAAATCGCACCGACCGAAAAACACACTCTAATTTCAGTCGTTGATTTTTGGGCAAAACGCAGCAGAAAATCTACGCGCTCGTGTTTGTTTTTGTTTTTGTTTTGGTTTGGTGTTGCTGGTGCACGGGTGGACATGGGCTGGAGTATGGCACAAATAGATATTGTAAGGCATTGGCATCTTTAGATCAATGGTTGATCGGATCCAGAATACTTCTGCCGGGTATAACATGTCTGTATGTGTAATATAAGTATATATAAGGTAGATTGTGTATATAATATAAGTATAGTATATAAGTATATAAGTATAGTATAAGTATATAAGTATAGTATATAAGTATAGTATAAGTATATAAGTATAGTATATAAGTATAGTATATGTATAGAAGTATACTTATAGTAGTATACTTATGGTAGTATAAGTATGGTGTAATATGGTATGGTATAATATGGTATGGTATAATATGGTATGGTAGGTTGTAGGTTGGTATGGTAGGTTGTAGGTTGGTATGTTTGTGGGTGGGGATGTACGGAGGTGCTGTTCGAAGGATTTTTAAGATCAAACTAATTTGTAGTAGCCGCTGTTGTTCAATGTGTCATTTACTTTCAATTGAAGGAATCAACTCATCTTGACGACACGCTGGGGTTCATATTGGATACAACCGGCTCATTGCAATTGCATCTGCGGGTTCTCTTTGAGAAAAGACCTTACGTTTCAAGGAAAAACCACTTTGGCGCCCCTTCAATTAAACTTTGCTGATTTGATATTAATAAGGTTATAACACTAGTGAAAGAAATAAGTACTTTAGTCCCTTACATAAGGGTATCGACTAATTCTCAAATAACATCTTAAAACAATACTATGAAGAAACGACCTGATGGAGTAAATTCAAGCTCAAAACTTGACCCCCCAATCGAAATTGGACATTCAAATCATCACCATATTGATACCGGAATAGATCAGCCATTCCCGCCTCCTCCAACCCTCCATAACTCAAAGAATTCGAAAAAGGCAAACGTTTTTTCAAAATCTTTTAAAAAATTCTCAAAAGGCTCTTCAATCTTCACCCATCAATCTTCCAGCACCGAATTTCTTCCCTCCATAAATCAAAATATAGATGAAGAGTCTTCCACCACTAGTAGACTGTCTCCAAAAACTTCCACTTATTCCGGGTCTCAAAATGACTTCCAAGCAATTGGATACGACGCTACCTCGGATTCAAAAGAACCAATCCATGTCATGTATTTACCCGATCGCTCTGCTTCTCAACAAAGCGTTCCTCAATTATTATCTCCTCGTCAAGTATCCATCGGATCCCAATCCTCAGAGCAAAGAGAACGCTCTCAATCCCAATCCCAATCTCTGTATCATTCTCATCATCAATTGCATAATTTTTCAAATCATGATTTCTCAGAACCTCAAATCCCTAATAATGATGATAATAATGGTTACGCTAATAGCGTCACTAGTAGTGGCCACAGTATTAACTCCTTGGATCCTAAAGCAAAATATCAAAATGACTCCTTAAATCAAAACACTCCTGGTTTAGCAGAAATCGGTTTGGGCTTGGCTGGGTTTGGTCTATCTAATGATGATATCGCTCCTCCTCCCCCTTTAAAAGATCATCAGACTCCTAAAGATAAACCTTCCTCGGGTACTCCTTTACATACCATTTATCAAAATGAACCCACCCTGATTAAATCTCCTCCTTCCCTTTCAGCACCTCCTGCCTCCACTTCGGTAAATCAATACTCAGAACAAAATCCTCCTCCAGTTCCTCCTCATTCCCCGTCCCTTGTTCCTCCTCCTAATATCCTGAAAGGTTTCTCATTATCTCCAAAGAAGGCTCGTTCCAAATCTTCTTCTTCTAAACGGAACGTTTCGCCAGTGCAATTCACTACTACTGTTTCTCCAAAACAAACAACTCATTCATCTTCAGCAAATTCCTTGGTATCATATAGTGCTGTGGCTTCTCAATTGAACCAAATGCCAAAACCTCATATAGTCGATGAATTATTCGCAAATTTACTTTCTACTAGAATATTTCCTGATCAATCTTTTAAAAATATTACCACAAAACGTAAATGGGAACTATTATTAAGTGAAAATGAAAATAATTCAGATTTTGATTTACCAAAATTTAATAATGATTCCTATTATTTTGGATCCCCAAATAATATTCATAGTCCCAATGGTCTGGGGGTTCCTAAAGTTACTGAAAGTTTAAATGAATTACTTGATGATGGGCACGGACTGTCCATGAAATCAAGCTCTTCTTATTCTTCTACAATAACTTCACCAACTAAGCTGAAACAATTTTCTTCAATCAAAAATCTCTCTCGAAGAGTAGGACAATCAAATGATAATTCAAGTTCGTCAACACTAATTACTAATAACAGTCAATCTTCGACTAATAATAACTCAATTAAAAAAAATAGCTTTGAAGATCAAAATTCAATTCGCAACAAAAAGAAATCTTCTGAATCAGGACCCTTAGATAATGAATCTAATCATGGATCAGGTTCTCAAAATATATCTTCGCTCTACAAAAAACTGAAATTAAAAGAAGGTTCTCCTGAATGGTATGTTTCTCGTATTATGTCCAATAAATTGACTTTAAAAGAATATAAAAAATTAGAAAAAAGATTATCAGAAAGTAAGTACGCTCTTTGGGCTACTAAATTTAATCAATCTCAAGGTGAAACAGCATTATCTGTTATCTTGAGTAGAATTAATAAGAAGAGTATCAAATCTAATGAAGAATTTGATAAAGAACATGTAATTGTCAAATGTTTGAAAAATATTTTGAATTTAGAAAGATTTGACGAAATTGAAGAAGATGCTAAAGCTTCTAAAGACTCACGATTTAGCTCCTCGATTGGTGTTAAGCATCGTGATCAAGTGATTAAATCAATCATCTTCTCTTTGATATCTCCAAAATTATCAACAAGAATTCTCGTTACCGAAGTCCTTATTTTCTTATCGTATTACAGAGGGGCTAATTTCTTACCTCAGATTTTAGATAGTATGGTGGCTGTTCAAGATTTCACTAGAGACTTTGTTCGATTTCAACCATGGTTAGGTGCTTTCGAATCGTTTCTTGATCAATACTTCACCAATGATGTCCGAGCAGGAGATTCTAATTTCAAAAATTATTCATTGACCACTCTTTTGTTGATTAATTCAATCATGGAAGGAACTTCTCAAATAAAAAAGCGTATTTCTTTGAGAAGAGAGTTTAATGATTCGAGATTGTTGAAAGTATTTGATAAAATTAGAGTTATCAATGACGACAGAATTAATGAAGAAATCGAAAAATATGAAGCTTTTGCTGAAGAAGATTATACCGAATTTTTCAATTTAGGAAATCAATTTAAACAAAATGATAATGAATCGTTTGATGTTGTTAGTTTGGATGACTTATATGGTGACTTGAAGCGCTCTTTTAATGACAATCAAACTGAAGAAGACAAGGACGATAATGATGACGTACACTTAAAGTCAATCTTTCAAAAATTCCTCATGTTGAAGGATAGTGGTAGATCAGATAAAGAAATAAACAAGCTTTTATTATTGATCGATTCTGTGATGCAGCATATTGTTGCAGAGTCAACCATGATTGGTTCTGATGCGGTTTCCGTTTTGAACAGCTCTATCCAACGTTTGATGGATAGAATGACCACGGACGATACTGCGAGAAGGGCAGTTTTAGAAACAAGAGAATTGACCAGGACAGTGAAGGTTTTAGAAGAAGAGAAAAAACAATTGGAATTAGAGGCTAGTTTTGGTCTTAACCAAACAGTGGCTAATTTAAAGAAGGAAAATGGTTTGAGTGCAATAAAGATTGCAGCCCTAGAAAAACAAATTGACTCCTTACAAATGAAGATTAAATACCTAACCGAAGAAAGACAGAAATGGATTAAATTTGCATCGTCTAATAAAAATAACGCATCTAGTATTCAGGATTCACCTTCTTCACCGCCTTATCGAGCAAATTCAGTTAGACATAATAGTATTGTCAGTGAGCTAGAAACTGTTTATTCCACAAAAAGCGGGAGATCAAATAACGACAAGATTACGATTGATTTATCGAAGGATGATTTTGTTAATTCGGATGACATTTCCATTATATCAGAAAACTATCCTTCTCGTTCGAAATCGGTGAGAAGTAAGTATAGTTACACTGCACCCAAGTCAAGTGATAGCGAAACTTTCGATAATAAAGTGAAAGAAGATGTTGATGAAAGTACTACCAAGAATACGGAAAGTGAAAAACTTGATGAAGCTTCATCAACACCTGCGCAACCTGCAGTACCACCACCACCACCACCACCAGTACCCTTCTTCTTAACTGCAAAAGCTTCCGAACGGCTGGCAAATGTAGCTTCAGGAGCACAAACTCCAGGAGCGCCACCTCCACCTCCGCCACCTCCACCAATTCCCAACTTTATGAAAGCCGCCAGAGTACCTGCAGACTCAGATCAGGGATCTGCTGGACCACCAGCACCCCCACCCCCTCCTCCATTACCTCCAAACATGGCACCATTTTCGCCTGCATTACCACTCTCCCAAAGCAATTCACAACCAGGCACTCCAGTCGGCCAACAGAGTAATGATAATTCTTTCGTGGACAGATCAACGTCATTCAATGATTTAACAGACAACGGCAGTTTTGGTGAATTATTACAAAACAATTCTCAAATATCACTCATACCTCATGTTAGACCAAAAACTAAGCTTAAACAGATGCACTGGGATAAATTAGATGCAATTGACAAAACTTTTTGGTCAGATATTCAACACGAAGAATTGGCAGACAAATTAGTTGAAAAGGGTGTCTTGAAGGAAGTCGAAAGGGCTTTCGTTGCCAAATCATCTGTGATAAAACTCAAGAAAGATGTTAAATCTGAGTCTGGCAATTCAAGTAAAATTACGTTTTTACCAAGAGACTTGGCTCAACAATTTGGAATTAATTTGCACATGTTTGCCAATTTATCTGTAGATGAATTGATTTTGAAAATAGCACATTGCCATAGAGACATTTTGGATAATATTAGTGTTCTAGAATTCTTCAATAGTGATAGTTTGAATGAATACAGTGATACTTTGACTAGAAACTTCCTTCCATATACAACTGATTTCAGTAAGCCTGATTCTAAGCCTTCGAAGCCAGTGGAAGAACTAGACAGGCCAGATAGACTATATCTTGAAATATTTAACATGAGACATTACTGGAAATCCAGGTCAAGAAGTCTTTTGTTAGTACAAACTTATCAGAAAGAGTACATGGATTTGATGAAAAAGTTACAAGTTGTTGACGAAGCCAATAAAAGTCTTAGTTCTAGTAATAGCTTGAGATATGTTTTAGGCATTATTAGATCTGTTGGTAATTTTATGAATGATTTTTCCAAGCAAGCATTAGGTTTTAAATTAGAAACTTTACAGAGATTGAAATTCATGAAAGACGAGTCAAACACGATGACCTTTTTACATTATGTTGAAAAAGTTATCAGAAATGCCTTTCCTGAATTTGGTTCTTTTGTTGACGAATTAAGTGCTTTAACTTCTATTAATAATATCGCTATCGAGCAGTTAGAAAATGATTGTTTTGATTTTGAAAAAGTCATTAATAATGTATCAAGTTCTATAACGAAAGGGAACTTGAGTGATAATTCGTACTTTCATCCAGAAGATAGAATATTACTGAAGATAACTGGACCATTAGAAAACGCAAAAATCAAGAACGCTCTTTTGCAAAGCCACTTAAAAAGAACAATTGAAGATCATAATGCTTTGATGGAGTACTTTGGTGAAAACCCTAAGGATTCTCAGAGTCGAAATACTTTCTTTAGTAAGTTTTCTGTTTTTGTTTTGGAATTTAAGAAGGCGCATGTTGAAAATATTCAAAGAGAAGAAGACCAAAGAGCATACGAGGCAAGAAAACGCTTGATTGAAGAAAGAGCCATCAGACAAACTCGAGGAGGCAGTCCTAGCAAAAAGTCCACTACATCATCTTCCAAGGATTCTAACCGTAATAAAGAAGCACTTGATGATGATGACGACGACGACGACGACGAAGACGAAGACGACGAAGATGCTGAAATTGCAGGTGACATTGGTTCAGCTAAGACCGATAAAGAAAATGCCGCTGATTCTGGCTCGAGTAGTGCTGTGATTGATGATTTATTAGATAAATTGAAATCAAGCGGTCCAGCCATATCTACATCAAGTGCTAGAGAGAGAGGACGTAAACATAGAAGAAGTAAGGCCTTATCTTTTTACTCTACAATGTCCTTAGATGACTTATTAGAACAGGTTTCTGGTAGTAATTTCCATGGACGTAAAGGCAGTAATGTGAACAACATTAATTCTGCTACCGCATTAGCATTAACAAAACAACAAACTTCATATAACGAGTATGAAAGCGTCAGTCTGTTGAAGAGAAGAATGACAACCAGAAGAAAACAACAATCACAATCACCAGTGGACTCTGAATCTGGTATCAAACCAGATCAAGTTATGCTCAGAGCCCAGGTAATGTTGAATCAATTGAGAAGCGAGAATAAAAGTAACGAACTGATCGATTCCGAAGACGTAGGACCTAATGGTTCCAGTCTTAGTCTCAATGAGGATAAGCTTCTTAGACTAGGATTATCTTCGAAAAATAACTCTGCCAATACCTCCAAATCAGAAATTGAAGCTGAAGACGAATCAAAGGAAGCGAAACCCGATTCCGAGTCTCCTTCAGCCGAAATAACCACCACTCCTACAGACTAAATGCCTTACCATCTCATTTATTCATGAAATAGTTATAATAAAATTTTGCATCAATTTATAAAAATATTCATCTGTATGTACGGGTCTCTCTGGACCAGAAAATATTACAGAGTCAGATCCAGTCTTCTTACACCCTTCGGCTCAGAGTCAGCTTCAATGCATACAAAGTTTGTAAGGCACGAGTCAAACCCACCCGAGTCACCCTTCTTCAATCTTCTGATTAGGCTAACGGCCCTTGTTTGGGGTCCTAGTCCTTGCAGTAATTTGACTTTCTTTGTTGCAGCCACTCATTTTGTCTTTCTCTTTCTCTTTCAAAGCATCATAGTTATTGGTGTATTCTTGCTAATTGAATATCCAATTAGATATAGCCATTTTAATGACTCATCGGCAAAATTTTCACTAACAATTTTTGCTAGCTTTCGAGTTCTGTTTTTGTTAGAGGAAAATAAAGAGTACCTGCATATAATTCTTGATGGCTTCTTAACAAACAAAAAAAAAAAAAAAAAAAAAGTGAAAAATTCGGCTTTTTGTGTAAGTATATAACCAATAGGTATTGAAAATTTGATCTTTTGCTTTGGAAAATGCTTTTTCAATACTTCTTCTTTTCATATTGAATTTTTCATTAGACCGTTTACATTGCCGTACTTTTGTAAGTATAAACCATCTTTTGAAATGTTGTCTAGGTCCATAGTTAATCGTCGATTAACTAGCTCTAGCATTTTAAAGGCTAGACAATTCCATAAGTCTTACCGTGCTTTGGATGCTGTTGTTGTCTCTGGTACCAAGTTGGCTGGAAGTATAAGAAGCCAGATTGCCGAAAAAGTTGTCAATTATAACAAACAACACTTCAGTGATTTAATCGAAAAAGATTATTCTTTTGAAAATTTGAAATTCAAACCTAATTTAACCATTATCCAAGTTGGATCAAGACCTGATTCTTCTGCCTATGTGAGATCCAAGTTGAAGGCTGCTCAATCTTCGAATATTAAATCAAAGTTATTGAAATTCGATGATTCTATCACTGAAGAAGAATTACTTGAAGAAATCGAAAAATTGAATATGGATCCTAAAGTTAATGGTCTTTTAATTCAATTACCTTTACCAAAGCATATTGATGAAACTTTAGTCACCAATTCGGTTTCAACAGAGAAAGATGTCGATGGGTTCGATCGTTATAACGTTGGTGAATTAGCCAAAAGAGGTGGTAAACCCTTATTTAAACCTTGTACTCCTAATGGTATCATTGAATTGATCAAACAAACTGGTATTCAATTACGTGGTAAAAATGCAGTTGTCATTGGTAGATCCGATATTGTCGGTACCCCAGTTGCTGCTATGTTAAGAAATGAAGATTGTACTGTTACTATTTGTCACCGTTATACTTATGATTTACCATATGTTTTAAGTCAAGCTGATGTTGTTGTTGCAGCAGTTGGTATTCCAGAATATGTTAAAGCCGATTGGATTAAGGAAGACGCTGTCGTCATTGACGTTGGTATCAACTATAAAGAAGACCCTTCTGCTAAAAATGGTAGAAAACTAGTTGGTGATGTAGACTATACTCCCGTTGCTGAAAAAGCTGGTTTTATCACTCCTGTTCCTGGTGGGGTTGGTCCAATGACCGTAGCAATGTTATGCTCTAATGTTTATGATGCTGCTGTTTTACAAGCCAGTAAAGCTCATGAACACGCTTTCAAACCTTTACCTTTGGAATTGAAAGATCCTGTTCCTTCAGATATCGCAATTTCTAGAGCCCAAAAACCAAAGAAAATCACTAAAATTGCTCAAGAATTAGGTTTAATCGAAAATGAGTTAGAACCTTATGGTCATTATAAAGCAAAAGTTGATCCAAAAGCTGTTATTGATCGTTTAGATGAACAAGTTGAAGGTTCTACCCATGAAAAAGGTAATTACATTTTAGTTGCTGGTATTACTCCAACTCCTTTAGGTGAAGGTAAATCTACCACCACTATGGGTTTAACTCAAGCTTTAGGTGCTCATTTAGGTTACAACTCAATTGCTAATGTTAGACAACCCTCTATGGGTCCAACCTTTGGTGTTAAAGGTGGTGCCGCAGGTGGTGGTTACGCTCAAGTAATACCTATGGATGAATTTAATATGCATCTTACTGGTGACATTCACGCTATTTCTGCAGCTCAAAACTTATTATGTGCTGCTGTCGATACAAGAATGTTCCACGAAAATACTTCTAAAACTATTAAAGGTTTCTATAAGAGATTAGTTCCAGCTAAAAAAGGTGAAAGATCTTTCACTCCTTCTATGTTGGCCAGATTGAATAACTTAGGTATTAATAAAACTAATCCAGATGACTTGACTGATGAGGAAATTGTCAAATTTGCCAAGTTGAACATCGATCCAGAATCCATCACCATCAAGAGGGTCGTTGACTGTAACGATAGATTTGTTCGTGAAATAACTCTCGGTCAAGGTAAGAATGAAGCTTCTAAATATCCTCCACGTAAATCTGGTATGGATATCACTGTTGCTTCTGAATTGATGGCCATTTTAGCATTATCAACCTCTTTGAAAGATTTAAGAGAACGTGTTGGTAAACTTGTGGTTGGTACCCAATTAGAAAGTGGTGATGCAATCACCGCTGAAGATATTGGTTGTGCTGGCGCCATCACTGCTTTATTAAAAGATGCGGTTAAACCAAATTTGATGCAAACCTTAGAAGGTACTCCAGTTTTTGTTCATGCTGGTCCATTTGCCAATATTTCTATTGGTGCTTCTTCAGTTATCGCTGATAAGTTAGCTTTGAAATTGACTTCTCCATCTAATCCTATCAATAATCATAAAAAAGGTTTTGTCGTCACTGAAGCTGGTTTTGATTTCACCATGGGTGGTGAAAGATTTTTCAATATCAAATGTAGAGCTTCTGGTTATAAACCTGATACTGTTGTTTTAGTTGCTACCTCTCGTGCATTGAAATTACATGGTGGTGCTCCAGATGTTAAACCAGGTCAAGCCTTACCAAATGAATACACTAGTGAAAACTTGGAGTTTTTACAAAAGGGTTGTGCCAACTTAGCTAAACAAATCGAAAATGTCAAACAATACGATGTCCCGGTTGTTGTCGCCATAAATGCATTCTCTACAGATACTGAAAATGAAATAAAGCTCATTCAAGAAGAAGCCCTTAAAGCTGGTGCTGATTTTGCTGTTCCTTCTAACCATTGGGCTGAAGGTGGTAAAGGTGCTTTACAATTAGCCGATGCTGTTGTTGAAGCTGTTAAGGTTGCTAAATCTAATGAACAAAAATTTTTGTATGATGTTAATGATACTGTCGAAAATAAATTATTGACTATTGCATCTAAAATGTACGGTGCATCTGCTATTGAATTATCTCCATTAGCTAAACAACAAATCGAAACTTACACTAAACAAGGTTATGACAAATTACCCATCTGCATTGCTAAAACTCAATACTCTTTGTCTCATGATCCTGCCTTAAAAGGTGTTCCAACTGGATTCACTGTTCCTATCAGAGAAGTCAGATGTTCTGCCGGTGCTGGTTATTTATATGCTTTAGCAGCTGAAATCATGACTATTCCCGGTTTACCAACTCACGCTGGTTTCATGAATGTTGAAGTCAACGATGACGGTGAAATTGAAGGCTTATTCTAATCAAAATTTTTGCATAAACATTTTTGAATTATTTCTCTACAACACTTATAGATCTCTATTTTTATCATTTCTCTTAAATATTACCTTATGTATACTACAATATAGACTTGGAAGAAACAAAAGCATTACATTCATATACATTTATTAAAACAAGAAACAAAAGCATTACATTCATATACATTTATTAAAACAAGAAACAACTCAATTGAAAGTAGCAGGGTTGCTAATTTCTGAATCACCATCTTCAAAGTCATAACTCCTACCAAAAGTATTCTTACTGTCAACGATTTCTAAAATTACTTTTGCTACATTAGCTCTGGAAACTGTGGATCCAAAATCGTCGGCTGAATTTATAATCCTGATCTTGCCAGAAGCTTCTTCATCGGATAAGTAAGTTGGTTTCAAAATAGTGAAATCCAATTTATCTTTAAACTCATTAACCAAAATTCTATCAGCATAATGCTTAGCAATTAAGTAATCTCTTAATTGTGATTCTTGGAATGATTCACGAATGTCAGCATGAATTGCACTTACAAGAATATATCTTTTGACTTGAGCTAAAACACTAGCTTCAAATGTCTTAACAGCACCATCCAAATCGACCTTCAACAAATCCTTCCCAGCAGAACCAGCAGCGAAGACAACAGCATGGTGTCCTTTAATAGTATCAGCCAATTCTTGAACACTAGCAGTATCAACTGTCAATTGTTTAGTTTTTAAGGAGTTATCGATTGCTGCAAGGATGGTAGCTTGTTCTGTATTTCTAACAACTGCAGTCACTTGATATTGCGATTTGTAATTTGCAATTTGGCGAACCAATTGCTGACCAACTTTACCGTGAGCACCGAATACAAGTAAATTCTTCACCATCTTCGTTATTTCGTAATACAGAGTCGCAAAACTAAATTGTCTGGGGAAAATCCCAAGTATTTATATACCGTTTTCTTTGCGATTCCACACTAAAAAAAAAAAAAGGTTTATTCATAGCATACATTACCAATACTGTTATCCGGTTACAGTCACGAAGCATGAAACTTTAATTAGTAATTCTAGTGGAAAGCAATGCTCAAGGGAATAAATTTGAAAAAATGTAAGGTTTTTTATTCTAACAGTATACCAATATGGAACTTAAAAAAAAGAAAAAACGGAAATTCATGTTGCAGCCATGGGAATTGAACTATTGAAGCCTTAATAGCTGTGAACCTAAAACTGAACATGATAAAAGCTCTCTTGGGGATGCTTAATAACATCCAGTATACGTCATCGCTTGGATTTAGAAGGTCTTGAAGATGGCATTTGAGGAGTTTCGATTGATTCTTCGGTTGAAGATTTTTTGGGTCTTGAAGGAATTACGGGTGTATCTGGCTTAGTCAAATCTTTTGTTTCAGATGGCTTAGATGATTCGATTTTGTCAGAAATATCATCATTATCGTTTAATGTAAGTTTTTCATCAGTAGTTTGTTAATGAGTAACCTTTTCAATGGATTGCTCAATATCCGGGATTCCCTGATTGGATTGCTCAATATCCGGGATTTCCTTATTGGATTGCTCGATATCTGGTCCTTCACTATTGACGTCTTTACTAGCTTCATCAATACTTTGTGATCCGTGGTCAACACTTTTTTCCAGTTGATCAATGACCTTATGGGGTTTATCTAACCAACATGGCAGTATCTAGAGTCACTATTATTACAGAACTGTTTTCATTTTAATATTTGCAAGCGTAATTATTGAGATATATATACTATAATACATTTATGAGAAAGGCAAAAAAAGAAGAGAAAATTAAAAACATAATTCTAAGTCATTAAATGAATTAATAGTGTGGTTTGTACACACCAGCTTATTGAGATTCGTTAGTCTTTGCAATGGCATTGGAATTGATTTTGGTAGGAGGGTATGGGCTAGAAGATTGGCCCGTTGAATTTAAAATTGAGTCAGGTTGGGTTTTAGGATTGGCAGTACCATTGCTTAGATTGCTATTATTACCAATCAGATAATTAGAAGCGGATTTTGGAACATGTCCGTTATGCATTTGTTTTGTAGGCGAGCTTGCAGATGGCCTCTTTGGAGAATTGTCAGATTTTTTAGAGATCAGCTTCGTAGATGGTTGTTCGAAGGCTTGGGAATCTTGCGAGACAGTATTATGGTTAGCTTGCTGACCAGCAGTAAACAGCTTCCTTGATTCATTTCCTAAACCGTTTGAGCTGTTATATTTAATACTCCCATCAGATGAAGCAGAATTATTTTCACTTTTTACCAATGACAGTTTCTTCAAGAGTGAAGCCGATGAATTAGATGACGAAGAGTCGCCTGATGAAGCCCTAGCTTGTTGATTTTGTCCTTGGTTTAACACACGTTGTTGCTGAGAAGCTGCTTGTATATTTCTATTATTATGCTGTTGTTGTTGTTGCAATGCTCTCATTCTGGCTTGTTGAATTAATAACTGCCTTTGATGGGCAGATTCTCTCAACAAATCGTAAGACTTCGACAACAACATGGACCCAAATCTGATTGATTGAGTATCATCACTGATGCAGTTTAACTTTGAAGGATCTAAACTAAACGGTTCTTTGAGGCCGTTTTGATATTCAGTATAATCATTATCAAATTGCCAATGTGAATCCAATCTATTAATTAAATCAGACTTACAGTCATAAACATTCGGAACGGATTTATTCTTATCTGTAACAGTATCGACATCCATAGAATCATCTTCATCATCATCAAATTTAAGAAATTCATCAATAACATCATTTGGTCTTTCAATAAGACCCCTTCTATCAACAAATGTCCTATTAGCTCTGCCAACTCTCTTACGCAATCTGAAAATTGGATCCGAAACACGTTCTTGGTCTTCATCTTCATCAAGCGAAGGATATTGTTGATTATAGTGCAGGATTTGATGACGTTGTTGTTCAAGTTTTTCACGAATTTGTTGATATTGGCGTCCGTAACCATGACTGTATGCACTGAAGTTATTGGTATCAATATTATGAAGAAGCTGAGCAACATAACTTACTGAATTATTCTTATTGTTATTTATATGATTTTGCAATAATGTCAGTAAATGTGGGAAATTTTTTGAAGGAATAAGTTCACCATTAGTACCTCTAAAAGTCTTTATACCAGGGAGAGGAACTTTACCATTTTCCAACAATTTCTTTAATCCTTCGTTCATATAATTGGTAGTATTTATTTGATGATAACTACTAGCAGCGATTGAAGAATAAGGGATATGACTCAATTCTTTATTTTTATCCTTATCATTTGTTGATATATTGAAAAAGGGCTGGTAAGGATCATCAGTAACATTGATGAAGCCTTTGTCTTGTTCTCTTCTTTTTTGTAATTTATCCAAAACTGCCCTTTTAATAGTTTCGTTCTTCTCTTTCAAAACCAAAGAGACAGTAACCAAATCCATATCTGGAATCTTGGAAGGAGGCAATTTGACATAAGGTTGAGTTGATGAAGAGGATGCTTGTTCTTGTTGAGCTTGTTGTTGCAGTTGTAATTGAGCTTGATGTTGTAAATGCTGTTGATGTGCGGCGGTGGCAGAAGCATATTTATCCTTACCCATTGAATCAAGTACATCCTTATTTCTTTTCTGGCCTCTTGCCTTAATAGGTAAGACTTCTTTATCATCATCTTGTTCTTTAACTTTAGTCACCTTCCGTCTTTTGTGAGGATAGAATAAGTAATCATCACCTTTAACGCCGACAACACGTTTCAAGTTTTTAGCTTCACTACGTAATTTAAAAATTTGGTGTTCACTTTCCCAAGTTTGAAGTTTAATTATTTCACGTTGACAAACTGAAAAAATCAAATTACGAGCAAGATGTAATGATTTTTGTAGTAACCTTATTCTTTCAGCACCTAAAGTATCAGCTCTTCTAGTTTTACGAGCTTGACGGAATTCACGACGACGGAAACAAATATAAGGATCGTTATCATTATCTTTTTCACTAGCGTTAGGATCTTCAAATTTTAAAGATGGATGAATTTGTTTGCCCTTACGTTCAATTTTACGATTTTTCCAAAATTCATAAACTGGGCGTCCGAAAAGCTCTAACAATTTTGGAATTGGCCTAGTAGTGGTTGTTAAAGATTGTTCTTCTGGGTTCTTATCAAATAATGTTACAAATGGTTCATGTTTTAATTCTTTCAGAAGTTTCTCTTTAACAGTGGATGTAGTCATATATTTATAACTATTACCCAATTGAACGTATGGACTACTTGAAGTTGAACTATTAAATTCTTCAAGAATGTGATGCAGGATTTCTTCATAAGATAAAATATTTGAAGGATCAACAGAGAGGAAAGGTTGTTTCTCTTCAATTTTTTTTTCAAATTTATCACAGATAACTTCATATTCTAATTCTGAGCATTTCCTATTATTTTCAGTTGGATCTAGTTTATTTAATTTTTCATTTTTAACTTTAATTGGTTTTGGATAATCAATAGATAAAGTTTTAGTGAAAAATTCTTCATCGGCTTCATCCATATTATATTCACAACCAACGGTATCCTCCACGGTAGCACTAAACTTGATATAAGTTTCTGGTTCTTTGAATGAAGTATCATTATAATATTTATAAGCTTGAGTCCATATTTTAGATGCATCAGGAGTTGGAATATATACAGAAGGATCATTTTTCTTTTTATCAGCATCTTGTTTTTTCGATCCTAATAATGCTTTTTGAGCTGCATTAATGACTTGTTGTAAATGAACTTCATCTTCTTCATTTTTATCAACCCCAGTTTCGATACTATGTAAATCACGTTGTTGTTGATTAGATGATTGATTTAGATGATGAACTTGAGAAGGTTCTAAACTAGTATCAGTGGAAGAAATGTCCCTTTGTTTGTAAATAGGAAGTGCAACTTTAACTGAAATTTTTCGTTGACGAAACCTTGCCCCAGTAGATGGCTGATTACCACCAGCATTTTTGGCGGGTAATACAGCCATAATCAACTAGATCTATATATATATCTATATATAGATATATATGTATATCTATGTTTGTTTATTTTGGTTGCAGGTGCTAGATTGAAGAGTGTTTTGTTTGATTTACCGAGTTTTTTAAACTTCTCACTATTTACAAAAATAATGATAAACAAAACACACCCACCAGTCGTAATCAATCAAAAAGCAAGAACTCCTTAATGATGCTTATGGAACTGGATTAGACGGGAATATTGCACCACCCGATTTGAATGACTGGGTATGGAAAGGGAGTCTATAGAATTTCGGTCCCAGCCAGTATATGAAAGTAAAAAAAAAAAAAAAAAAACCGACAAAAACCAACGAAAAATCAAAAATTAACTATTGGTGTTCGGGTCTTTTCTTCTAAATTCTCACTTTTTCGCAGAGAAAAAAAAGCTACTCTGCACTTTTGAGCGGATAGCAACGGAGGGCAAACAGAAACCAATGACGTTTATGGAATCCACCACGATATAAGTGCCAGGACAGTGAGACTTGGGAATGAGTCCGGAGCTTTAGATACCCTGACCGGACTTTAGCTATGAAAAAAACTGGTAAAACTAAGGGGAATTTGGATGGAATCCTCAAAAGATGAAAGGGTAAGCGGGCTATTACGAGGATAGAAAACAACAAGGGATGTGTTGTCGAATTCGAAGGCAAATTTTTTCTCCTCCTTCTGTTTTTTTTTTGCTTTTTTTTTTGCTTTTCAGTGCGGAGACCTGTGTGCAGGCCAGGTATGAGTAATCGCTCACGTGACACTAGTCCAGCACCCGTGCATCAAATATGACCTCCGTGCACCGCATATTTATCCCCGAGAAACCAAAACTTTCTTCACAAAACCGTACAATGCGTCACAGAGTGAGAATGAATATCCGGTTAAAGAATGGGGTTCTAACGAGATGTTCAGGTCGTAACAACCTGTAGTCCTTTGAATGGGAGTGGAAGTGTGATCAAGGAGACACAAGTGGATGGTTCGCTCGAGACAGGTTGGGTTTCTTTGACCCCGGGAAAAAAGACTGACTTCTTGACAGGTTCTAAAGAAACCATGGTTAATTAACCTGGGATTCGCTAGAGTAGGTGTTCAGTCAAACCATCCCCGGCTAGCTCGCTGGTAAGATGGTCACTGAAGTCGGTGGAAGAACCATTCCCACGAAGACCACTCAACGACACTCGGTACTTGTAATATTGCAGACCCACGGCGGGTGCACGTTAATTGAAGCTTTCTTGGTTCAAGTCGAAGTATGGTTTACCGTACCGTAGAGGCGCATGATGGGCCAGCTGAAAGGGACTCTGAGTTGTTCTTCCAGTATCAAAGACACTGGTATAGTGAAGAGTTGGTAGAAGAAGAAGAAGAAGAAGTGATAACTATTTTAAATTGCCGCCTTCTGATGATCTCTTTTTCCTGGTGGTAGAAGACCTGCATACTGGCGGCAGAAGTTATCAAACAGAAAATTTGGTTTCTTTTCCGGTGGTGTTTGGGTGTAGTGTTTAATTTAAGTTTTGACACTATAAACGGTATTAAGCTATAAGTATTGGAAGGTAATCGAGTGATTATGTAGGTGGGCATTCTGTAATGATGCCGGACGGATGTAGACATGCTCCCGTAAGGTTGTTTCACTGGGGAAAGGACAGTGTACGGAGGTTTTGCCGGATGTCGTATTGAGGTTAGTCGCGGGGGAGCAAAAGATAGGAGAGATAAAGTTGGATATGAAGATTCTTCTTTGATAAACGGATTAAAATTGGGTGAAAATGGCCACTACGACTAGTGTTAATACTTCGTGTACTCCGTTTTTGAATGCGGTATGTCCAGTGATTGAAAATCTTGAACAAAATACCCATTTTAACCTTGAAGACCAGACCCAAGTGAAAAATTCCAAATATTCTAAAGCATGGTCTGATTTAAAATCGATTGATTGGCCATTAGGTAATACTACTCTGGTTAAGGCTAGTTTAAAGTCTTCATATTTGAACATTTCCAGACCACCATTAGATAATTTGAATGGGAATTGTAATGAATCAACTACTTATATTTCGCTCCCGTTTCATATTAACGAACAATTTAGTAAAATCGTAATGGAAAAGGAAATTGCAAAGCAATCGGATGGTAGTTTACATATAGGTGCTAATGTTAATCCTTTAATCCATGATCCTTTCAAATTAGTTCATTTAAATCCAAGTTGTTTAACAAATATGATTGATTTAACTAATTTCCATTCAAGAAATCGATTAGATAATCATGATCAAAATGACCAAAATACCAAAAATCCTTTTAATAAAATGACTAATAGTTTTAATAAACTATTAAAGATCACTACTACTTATACTCAATCGAATAGCTCATTTGAAAAAGATACTTCAAATTTTAATAGCTTAATCAACTATTTCAATTCCGATTCAAGTAAATCAAATAGTTCTTTTAATCTTTTAAATTCTCATAATAATTCAGCTTCAAATTCATATATTTTTGATAGATTACTTAATTATGATGGTGATCATTATTTCAATCAAATATCAAATACAAATACCGCCAAACTATTGGTTTCTGCTCATGTTAACGTGGTAAATATAATTCCAATTGACACTAATGGTAATTATATCAATACTCTGGAGTCACCTTCCGATGAAGAAGGAGTGTCAAAATCAATTGAATCACCTCTTTTAAGATTTCAGTTCCATAGAAGTGTTTTGATCACTTGCTTGAAAACTTTTACTGATAATAATGATGATCCTTTTATCTTATTGGGCTTGAACTCGGGGACAATTCTCATTATTAATCTTTCACAGTTGACTATACGTATATTTGATGACTTGGGATTACATTCATTTAAACAGGAAACCGATTTAAATGGGTTAATTTCTCATTCAATGACTACGGCTGTTATAAGTTTGGATACAATTTACCATCCTAATTATGAATTCTTAATTGTTGCTGGGTATGCTAATGGAGAAATTTTAATGATTGATCCTTACGATGATAGCCCTGTTGAACAAAGTGCAAAATATGTTAAAAAAGTAGTGGGTAAAGATGATTATGTTACCTATTTTAAAAAAACTGATTTATCACCATTGATAAGTAAACCAGAAAGGAAAAGATCAAGATCAATCACGAGTGATAAAGACTTGGATCAAAGTCCTAATTACTTAATTTTCCATATAAAATTAAGCCATAAACCAATCACCGGGATATCAAGTACTATCCGTTATAATGATATTGGCAATAGCTTAAAATCTAAAAATGTTCCACCTAATCCAATGGTTATTGCATTTGCATCCGATGATGGATTAGTGAGACTAATTGATCTTGTTTCGACATTTCAAAATAATTATGGAGAATATCATAATTCTTTAAATAATTCAATTGTTACTGATATAATATCGAATTATTTTCATGATGGCATAACTGACGTTGAATTTTCTCCTGATAATCGATTTTTATTTATTGCTGGTAAAGGAGATTTAATCGAAGTTTTCAAAATGACTTATTATAATGTTAATGGGTTATTAACGAAAAACATTAATCAGTCCCAAACAAACTTACCGGGGAAAAGATCTAGAAGTGGTACTGTTAATAGTTATAATTCTGGAAGTGGTACTATTGGAACTTCAGGGAATAATAATAATAGTATATTTTTATCGCCAATTAATACTTTTGATGTATCATCGAGAAATGGAGAGGATCATAATGAACCTTCACAATTGTTACCTCCTATAGTGAAAGAAGTCAAGATTGTCACTCGAATTAAGGGACATAGTAATACTGTGAAAAAAATTGAATTTATTAAAAATGAACAATTAAATGAACCATCACCGGTTTATAAATTAATAAGTTGTGGATACGATGGACGGGTTATTGCTTGGGAATTTGATTATAAAGCGTTACCCCGGGTTAAAAGCAAGCCGGTAAAAAGTAAACCCAAGAAAGAAGTGACGAACCCAGTTAAACATCATAGTGGACCGGTGACGAGATTTCCAACTTTGAATCAAAGTTTAGCGATCAAACCAAGCAATAGTCAAACTTTACATACACGGAATCGATCATGGAATTTCCATAACGATGAAAACCCGTTGGGTATTGGAGGAATCAATAATAGTATGAATAAGATGTTGGGGACCGCGGTGCCAATGATTAATGAACCCAGTAGTGGGAAATCCAACGAAGAACAGATGAGGATAATCTACTCTATATATAAATCATTATATGAATTAAGATTGAAAAGACATTATACTCGAATTTTCAGTGAACAGAATCAGAATTATTCGAATCATCATAAGAAATTTCAAAGTTTAATTCATCCCGTTATTGATGATAAGTTAGTTCCGTCGATCAAGATTCCATTGATTAATATAGATATGTCATTTTTCATAAAAGATGGAAAAATTGAAGGGGTTTATTTAGATTTGTTTAATTTTTGGATATTTGCCAAAAGTGGCGATGTATTTAAAATTGATATTAATTAAAACAAGGTTTATATATAAATATATATATATATATATATTTTTAAAAAATCTATGTAGAAGAAAAGAATTAGAATAATGCTGATGGATGCGAAGATAAATGCAGAGGTTCATTAAAGATCATAAAGAGGGAGGAAAAGCGAGTGACAAGAACTATAATAAGTCATCAACATTATTACTAAAAGTATTATTACAAATTATTAAACATGGAAGCACCATCTAGACCAAACCCTAATTCTTCTTCTAATTTAAACAAGTTTGAATTGTCGACTCTATCGACGTTATCATTAAGACCGTGAAAGTTGAAATCATCTAGTTCTTGAGGTTTTGGAATAGATTGATAGTATTGAGTGTTTTCGTTTAGTTGAGGGTTAGTATTTACACTGGTTGGGTAGTCTAAGTCGTATTGTTGTTGTTGTTGTTGTTGTTGTTGTTGTTGTTGTTGCTGTTGTTGTTGTTGCTGTTGTTGTTGTTGTTGCTGTTGTTGTTGTTGTTGTTGCTGTTGCTGTTGTTGTTGTTGGTGTTGATGCTGTTGCTGGTGGTGTTGTTGTTGTAATTGTTGTTGTAATTGAATTTGTTGTTGTTCGTGGATTGGTTTACGAACAAATTCTCTAAAAGACTTAACTTCGTCGATGATCAAGGTCTTCATTGAATCGATATCGTCGACGGTTTCAAACGATTTGAAGTCGAATTTCATTTGACATTCCGGTTCGTCTTGAGGATCGTGCCAAACGGCAAGATAAGGATGGTTCAAGGCATCTTCGACGTTAATTCTTTGATAAGGATCTAAAGTTAACATTTTTTCTAATAAATCAAGCGCCAAAGGGTTTGCGTTGGGGAAGATTTCCGAATAATCAATTTTTCTCATCAAGGGTAAAGAACGAACATAATTTTGGGCTCTAATGGAGCCAATTTTAGTTAAGGTTGATTCTTTTGGAGTACCCAAGATCAATAAGATTTGATTTAATTGATCAACGTAATCTTTTCCTCTGAAAAGAGGTTTACCGCCTAATAATTCCGCCAAGATACAACCAACCGACCAAATATCAATTGCTTTAGTATAATTGGTAAAACTCAACATAATTTCTGGAGCTCTATACCATCTAGTGGCAACGTACTCGGTCATGAACCCGGAGTTTTGTTCGATATTTTCACTAAAACCTCTTGCTAAACCAAAATCACAAATTTTCAATTCACAATCAGCATTAACCAATAAATTACCCGGTTTTAAATCTCGATGTAAAACGTTTGCACTATGAATATATTTTAATCCACATAAAATTTGATAAATAAAAGATTGGTAATGAGAATCAGTCAAAGGTTGACCAGATCTAATGATTTGATGCATATCACATTCCATCAACTCTTCATAAAGATAAATTTCATTGAAGTCACCGGTTTGAGGATTAGGCACAATATCCAAGTCATAAAGACAAGTAATATTTTTATGGCCTCTGAAAAATTGTAATAATTTTAACTCACGTAATGAACGTTTACATAAAATGTTTTTACTGAAAATGTTAGTAATTTTCTTAATAGCAACAAAATTATTCGAATCATCATTTGATCCATCATCATATTTGGCAGAACAAACTATCCCATAAGCACCATGTCCTAATTCTTTTACAATTTTAAATCTTTTATCGATAATGAAATCTTGATTGAAAACAGTATTTACCGTACGACCAAAATGAGTTGACATTGTTAAGTGGTAGTCACTTGTAGGTGGTAATAGTAGTAAATTGAGGTAGTAGTAGTAGTAAATTGAAAGTAATTGGAAGTAATAACTTGTTGATGCCGCGTTTTTCTTTTTTTTTTTTTTTTCTTCTTCTTCGAAAGTCAAAGCAAAAAAAAAAAAAATAAAATAAAATGAAAAAGTATAAGCCTCTGAGTGTACACTAATAATAGTAGTAGTAAAGTAAAGTAAGGATTTTGAAGTAATAGAAATCAAATGATTTAAATAAAATATCAATTTGTTGATATATTATTTTTTGGCCAATTGATTTGTCAAAAATAGTTGTTTCCCATGTAAATAATTACATCAATGTCAAACATCTATTTATAGTATTGGGCTAATAATAACACTGGCATCTCCGTGCATTAGGGCATAATATATTATATATTCTACCATACAATACAGACTACAATACAGTATAGGCTACTGAGACTGCAATATAGTATAAGCCATCAATCACTTTGACTATGAGCTATACTCTACAAATTATATACTATACTGTGCGCAAAACCTGCTATACTATGAACCATTAAATAAAGTAACTACTCAGATGTACTAACTAAACTATACTCGTACTCTATCCCGTACTCTATACTCGTACTCTATCCCGTACTCTATCCCGTACTCTATCCCGTACTCTATCCCGTACTCTATCCCGTACTCTATCCCGTACTCTATCCCGTACTCTATC